GAAACGACAAGTCGGGTGTCGGCTTCCTCGAAGCCGGAAAAAGGGCGAAGCCCCCCTGCATCCGTACAGGCCGGTAGCTAGCGCGGCAAGTGTGACAATTGATGGGTAGTGTCAACATGGTGGGACCTGTGCTTGTTGCAGCTGTGCTTGTTGCAGCTGTGCTGATGCTGTGGGAGCTGCGCTTGTCAGAGCGCGAGAGGCAGGAAGCCGGGGCTCATAACCTGATGAAGAGACGGTGTCTCTCTGGAACCTAGCAGACACGGCTAAGAGTCATTGGCCATTACACGCAGTCTGGAGGTCCGCGACCTGCACCGACAGCCCCTTGCTTGGGTGTAAGCGTATGAGTCTGAGGTGCCTTTACCGGCACACAGCAGGGGCTCGGCCGCCAAGTCCGCGGTCCAGGCCGGACGCTCAACGCTCAGCAGACACAATCGCAGCTTGCCAGCCTTCGACCTTTTGGCTTTGCGGTCTGGTGCCGCAGCCATAACACACACGGAAAACAGCGCCGTACAGCACTGTACGCACTGCCTACGGCGCCCCTTCAGGCATTGACCCGCCTGCTCACGCGCCCTTGGCGGCCCCCTCAAAGCCTAGCTCGAAACACTTCCCAAAAGCCCGCAGCACTTTGATGTGCTGTGTTATGTTTATTTCCGAAGCGCCAGCGGCTTCACCAATCCGCCCCACAGCCGCCGCGGCACACTGCCATTGGCCAAAGTAATTGTACAAACGAACAGCATGCGTACTTCATAGAGAAATGAAAGCAATTTTGTCGCCCTGCTGGTGGCAAGTCGGAATGCCCGTGCGGGCAAATGGTAACACAAGCTGGGTGTTCGAGTTATTATACGCCGTAATCTCAGAATTGGATTATGAGATACGTGGCACCTTTTGAGATTAAATGTACCCCGAGAGGCGTTGATGTGCCTTTGAGCTCGGTCAATGGAGGCAGCCAAACTTGTTTGTGCTCATACAATTTTTGTTGGCTACAGGCGAGATACCTTGCAATAGAAAATGCTATATAGTACCAATAACGCGTTTCAGCCGGGCCAGATATTATGTTTGGTCCGTTACACACACACGGCCACACGGACATGGGCAATCCTACAGAGCGGGGCCCCCCTGGGCGCTTCGCGCTGGGCCCCGCCCAAAAACCAGCAGGGAAGGACCCTGAGGTGGTGTTGTGTTGAGTTGTGCGTTGTGGGCAAGTTTTGGGTGGAAGTTCCAACAGTGTGCGTGTGTACATCCAAGCTCTCTCTGAGGCTGCTGTCCCCCAAGATGTGCCGCGACAAGCGGGCGCCCGTCCTAGGACCAAGGGCCCTTCCAGTGCAGGAGAGAACATTGTTTAGCAAAACCACCGCGATGGCGGAACTAGCGGCCCTGACTTTCCGTTGTTACTGGTTGTTACCTGGCGCGGTTGCAGTGCAAACGCCCGGCAAGTCAGCAGCAATCGCAACGCGGGGTACCACCACACCGGAATTACCAAGAAGCAAGGGGAACGCCATGCGTGCATGTTTTGAACTTACGAATGATTCGCACTACGAAGGCAATATTACGTATATCGCCTGTTAAGGCACGACTCCTTTCAGGTACGAACGAAGGAGGGTATCACCCAGGGTTCGTCATCTGTCATCTGGGGGTGGGGTCCTGGGCGGCATCTGCCTTCCGCGCTCACTTAAGTATGAGGAAACAATATTTAACTAAGTTCTCATGGTATCTAGATATCGCGGGGACCCCCCCTTGTCTCATCTAGCTGGGCCCCGAGCCTCATCTTGACCGCCTGACAACCAGTGTATTTTTTTCCGTAATATATTACGGTTCCGTAATAAAATGACATATTTGCGTTCTGCGCTCCGTCATAGACCATGGTAAAGGCCTGGTACGGTCGTTACGGAGCCGGGGCGGGCCGAAGGCCCCCAGAGACGTTCTATTTTAGTATAAATAAGTTATAAATGAGCGATGGGGCCCAAGAAATTAACTACTATAGCTGGTCAGGGTAGCGTCAAAGCACTCCTGACCACCGGCAGGCCCAAACCCAGTAGCGGCGATGCTGGTAACACTTCAAACAATATAGCGAGTACAAGAGAGACATTAGAACCAGATGACAGGGCGCCTCCCGCACGGCGCCACGCTTCAGCCAGGGGAAGAAGCGGCGTCATAAGCAGAGGGAGAGGTTCCGTCCGCCACGGCCTGCTGGCGACGGCTGATGAGCCCCGCTGGGCAGGCCATGGCCATTTCAGAGTTTGCAAAGCTGGCGGAGATTGTGTTTGTGATGGTGCCAGGGTCAGTGGAGGATGAGAGGCGGTTCTCAGCAATGTCTTTCGTCAAGAATAAGCACCGCAACCAGCTTGATAAGCATCTGGGCCTGTGCTTGCGTATGTTTGCCCAGGACTTCTACACCCGCTCGTCCTTCCCGTATGACAAGGCGGTGGAGAAGTGGCTGCAGAGGGCTGAGAAGCGTGGCCGTTACATGCACAACTGACGAGTTTGCTATGCCCTGGGGCATTGTGCTGGCTGTGGTGTCGTGGTGAAAACGTATGACATAATCCTGAACGCATGTGGCAACGGACGGAAACAGCTGAGACTCTAATGAAATATTTATTACATATGTGCTGGTGTATCAGGTACCCTGTGTGGGCAGGGGGGGTCTGGGGGGGCTTGCCCTCCCAGAAAAAAAATTCTGGCAGTAATAAACGTATTGGACTGATGGCATATTTATTACGGAACTCGTAACAGATTCAGGATCGGCCTCCACGAAAAAACACACACTGCTGACAACCCCCGTCAGCCTCATCTAGCTGTCCCGACGCCTCATCTAGCTGCCAGGAGAGGGGCCCCGCGCGCGCATCTGAAAAGAAACATGTATTTAAATACCGTTTCATGTCTTCCTATATTCATTTGGTTGTAAGTTGACTGGCATCCAGATACATTTTGTGAAAGCCTGCTGGACGCATGGACATGACGATCAACTGATGGCGACAGCTGACGGGAGCGCTTCTCAGGTTTAAAAATGTTAATATTTATGTTCGCCCACCGACAGGTACACCGGCCGTACCGCGGGCCACCTGGTGTTGACCGCAGGTCACCCATACTCATACGTCCACAATCATCACTTCCACTCACATCCATGTACACGCACTTCACATCACCGTGCATGTCAGCGCGCGCTTTGTATCGAAGTAGCCGAGCTGTGAACAGTTTATGTACGCACGCGAAGGTACGCATGCGACTGCATCGATGTTTGTCATCCCTCGCCCGTCTGCACGCGCCAACAACATCGCCTACAGGTGGGAATCGGCCACAGCAATCCGTCTCTAGTGCAGCAATCCGTCTCTAGTCCGCCGCACCACGCAGTCTCTAGTGGTCGCGCACTTCCTGTAAGGCACATGCAGAAAATCGAGAGGGATTACTACGCTAGAAGAGGTTAGAAGTCTCTGCACGGTTCTGAAGGTCGACTCTTCCATCAGTAGCCCGTTGTAGCTAGGACGAGGAGGGACGACTGGACGGAACTATGTGATCTGTTACACTGTCGACATTCAAAAAGGGAGTCCAAACCATGCTGTTGGGCCATGTACCCCGGCTGTGTACCGTTGCGCTGGTAGCTTGCGCCAGGACCCCAGCCTCGTCTTCCCGCTGTTCATACCCTCCTCGAACGACTTCAGGTACGAGGACAGCAATCCAGCAAATGCCCGACCAATTATTTGATTTATTGTGTTTAGTTCGTAGTCATGCTTGCATGTTAGTCAGACACAGCCGGCACACGACAGACGTGAGCAGATTGTAAAACGCGTTGTAACTCACATATATTACACACCGCAACCCTCCAAACAACACCACAACATGTGGCAGGTATGTGGCGGGCTATTCCAGCGGACAGAGCACAATTTGGTAGCACACGTGCAGCATTATTATTATATTAATTATCAAGAGGCGCTTCTCCGCGGGTCGGGATGCAATTGCTCCTGATCCTGAGCTCCGTGACATACAAACAAACAATCAAACATACATTCATTCATACAGACAATGCATACAATCATACATACCTATGCATACAAAGTAGACAGATTCGCACTGCACGTTGCAATAATACTCGAATGTACACAAAATCACCCAATGCCGCCTCCTCCGTACCGTACCGGAGGGGTGCCGTACCAGAGCGAAGAGCAGTAAACTTGAGCTTATCCGACAGCACGTCCACATATATACAAACAATAAAAACCAGATTATGTTGCATTATGAAGTTGTTGCGGTGTATCCCTCTATAACGGTGGTCTTCTTGTGTTTGTACCACCGGGCAGCCTCCGGGTGGCTTCCAGTCCCCCAAGACCCCCGAGTACGCATTCCCCCTCGGGAAAGATGAGTTCCTTCCCTTCCCTTCCCTTTCCTTCATCCTTCATCTTACCTTACCTTTCTAGATCTTTCTGGATCTTCCTGCGTGCGCCCTCTCTTTCTGGAGGGGGGAAAGTGTCGCACTTGACGAGCATCTCAACTGCCACTTTGCTCCTATAGCACATAGCCATACTCTCACCCCCGCCGTCGCGACACTCCCCCTCCCAACGCGGTCGTACTACCGCTACCTCTACTGCTACTGCCGTTACTACTACTGCCGCTACTACTGCTGCTGTTACTACTACTGCTAACTAGGTAACTGGACAGCTGTGCGCACACACAGGCCTCACGGCCCGCAGCTTGGCGGCCTGGGGCCGGTATGAGGCCCGGGTCGGGGTGTGAGGACGGACGGGCCGCGGAGGAACTGCTGGGCGCAGAGTGCGAGGAGGGTTAGCGGGAAGGCCGGGAGCACCGTACGGCAACATCTGGGTCCATCACAGTAATCTCCTTTACCTCTCTCCCCCTATACATACTCCGACATGTGCCTCACCTTTCATTTCTTTCTTCTTCTTCTTCTTCTTCTTCTTCTTCTTCTTCTTCTTCTTTCTCTTTTCTCACTCTCTCACTCTCTCACACGCACACACACACACACTCCTCTCCCTCGCGCTCTCTGTCCTCTATCCCTCCTTCACCTCTCCGCACGACATGACATGCATTACGGCAGACATGCACGTGTCGTACAAATGCGCCGTGCAATTCCAGGATATGTTAACAAGGCAAGCAGTGCTGGGGGTCACTGCGCTGAAGGAGACTGCAAACAGTCCAAAGTTCTGAGAGTCAAGCTTCTCAATGGCGCCACGACATGCTGGCGAACAGAAGAAAAGGCCAAACAAACTGTGTAGTCCGTGGCTGGACCGGGCTTGCACCGCGCGGGCCCTTTCATTTCACCCCACCATTCCCCTCCCCCTCCCCCTCTCCCTATCCCTTCCCTTCCCCCTCTCCCTCGCCGACGGATGTGGTCGACGAAGCGGCGGCGGCGGCGCTGCCGCCGCTGGAGGCCCTCGCCCTGGACGACACCGGGGCCGGCCGCCACTGCGAGGAGACGCTCCTTCCCACCCCCATCACTGCCGCGGCAGTTGTCGCCGTTGCCGCCGCCGCCGCCGCCGACCGCCTCATCGCCGTTACTGTCGTTGCCGTTACCGCCGCCGAAGACGATGAGGGTTCCACGGATGCCGCCGTCGCGGCCACCTTCGTCTCAGACCGCCGGGGATGCACCGTCGGCGGCGGTGACGGCGGCGGCGGCAGCTTTGTCGTCCTGGCGGCGGTCGCCATCACCGGCCTCGTTGCCTTACCGGCCTTCTGATGCCTAGCAGTGTTATTAGAGCCGCCAGGCGCTGCTGCGTCTGCAACCCCCCCTGTTCTCGGGCCGCTGACGTCTTTGGAGGTTTCACCTCCGGCACCGCCGGCGGTTGCTACTGCCGTTGCCGCTGTTGCTCTGGTGCCGGCGGTCGCGGCAATGTGTGCAACCGCGGCTGCATGGGCGCCTCGTTGCAACGCCCCCGCCGCTGGAGTACGGCAGCTGCCGCCGGTGTCCGTGGCGGCAGCAGCAGTGCCAGCGGCCGGGTCGCTCTTTGTCGCCGCTGGCCACCAGGGTACAGCAATGGTGTTCCGTACAGCGCGAGGAGTTGGGAGTGCTGCTGCTGGGGCGGCGGCGGCGACGGCAGCTGCGGCGGTTGCTACTGCCAGATCTGTTGCGGACGTAGTTTGCGCCCTCGGCCTCCGTCCTCCGTCAGGTTGTTTCAGTCCGGGCCCAGTACGGCTGACGTGTACGGCAAGGTGGTCTGCCGCCGCGCCCGCCGGCGCCACACGGCTATTCCGAGCGGCACTGCTCTTCGTCTCCGCGTATATGACCGATATCCGTTTCCCTGAATCGCTGGAGGGGGCGGGGCCTCCCGACAAGGACAAATGGCCGCGGCCACTTCCCCCGGCGGCGGCGGCGGCTGCCGCCGCCGCTGCCGTCGCCGGCTTCCCTGTAGCGACTGCAAATGCTGCGGTACGTTGTCGCGAATTCCCGTGCACAGCAGCAGCGGGTGCACTGGCAGGACGCCGTACCGCTTCCGTGGCGGCGGCGGCGGCAGCGGTGTACTCAAGGGCCGCCGTGGGGGAAGCCGCATTACCGCCCACGCCGTCGTCGTTCGTACTGATCTGTACGTCACTGTCTCCGTCCATCCCATTAAAGCGACACACCATCGCTTCCGTACAGCACGCCTCCGCCGCCAGGAGGGTCGGAGTTCCTTCGTTAAGACCGACCTCGCCGCCGCCGTCGGCACTGCTGCTGCTACCACGGCTAGAGTCGCCTTCGCTATCCGTATCCCGTACGACGGTCGGACGACAGCCTGCGGGACCAACCCCATCCCGTCGTACGGGCGTCGGCGGCTGCGGTGCACACATTCCTCCGTACAGTGCGGCGGCGTCAAGGAAGTAACCGCCGTCAGCCGCCTCCTGATCCCCACTGCTATGTGTTGTTAGGACGGCGGGCCTATCGACGTCAGGCGGGCCCCCTGGTGACGGAGGACCTTCCCGCAGCGGCAGTAGCGGCGGCAACGTCAACACAGGGCCGCCGCTGACACAGCCAGAGACGACGGCGCCTCCGACGGCGACGTCGACACCACAGCTCCGCGACGGAACCGCCTTCTCAGCTTCCGCTACGGCCGCCGCCACCGCGACCGCCTCCGTTGGCTGTAGCAGCAAGGTGCTCGCTACGGCCTCAGCAGTACTCCCGGCATCCCCCTGCCGTACCGGGGACGCTAAGGTCTCAGGGGGTATATCCGCGAAGCAGGAGTGCCCTGTTGCTGTTGCGTCATCCGCATCCAGTCTTCGCCCACCTGCCCCCGCCCCCTCCGCCTCCGCCTCCGCCGCGCCCTCCGCCTCCGCCCCCTCCGCCTCCGCCGCCCCCTCCGCCTCCGCCGCGGCATCTTTCGCCGGCGCCGCCTCCATCGCCGCGCTTTTTGCCACCGCCCCCAATACCGCTGACCCGATCCCCGCCTCCACCTCCGCCTCCATCATGCCAGCCGTCAGCCTTGCCTTTCCTTCGTCCTCGGCTTCTACCACCACCCTTTCCGCCTCCTCCCCCGCCACCGCCGCTGACCCACCGATCACCGGCGCGTTAACATCATCATTATCACCATCACCCTCTTGCTGCTCCGAAACCTGGTCGCACCTCTCCAATCGCCCTGCAACACCGCCCGACCCTGGTGATGCCGCCTCTGCCTCCTCCTCCGCCTCCTCACCACCACAACCACCACTTCCTCTTCCGCTGGAAGCTGCTACCGATCTTCCCGGTGCTGTTGCCGCTGCTGCTGCTGCTGCTGCATCACCACCTCCAGCTGCCACCTGTGGCGCGTCAGCCTGCTCCGGCTCTGAATCCTCAGTACCGTCCTCAGCACCGCCTCCGCCTCCGCCTGCGCTACTGCCATGGCCATTGCCCTTGCTACAGCCAGCGTCACTGCCACTGCCTATGCCAAGGAGTTCCTGCGCCGCTTCTTCAAGTACACCCCGCTGCAGCTCCGGAACCCCTGCATCAGCAGCGGTTGCAGTGGCGGTTGCTGATGGCTCCGGAGGTTGAGCACCCGCCACCTTGGTCGGGAGCTGTACTGCTTCTGAGGCTGTGCAGCCGCTGCCGCTGTCCGCTACCTCCTCTCCCGCCGCTGCCGCCAGTGCAGCAGTTTCCGCCCCTTCCGCCGCCCCTCCCGCCAGCGTCACCGGATCTACCGCTGCGGCTGCGATGACACCGGCGGCTGCGACAGCACCTGGCGTCGCGCCTTCGACATCTGTCGTACGAGACCCAGGGTTTTCGCCGCTTTCATCCAAACCTGGTCTCGCCATCACAGCGGTCGCCGACGCAGCAGCGCCATGTCGCTGCGATTCAGGACTGGCCACCCTGCGCTTCGGCGGCGCCGACCCCGTCACCTCAACGGCCTCGCGCGCCAGCGGTCTTGGCGCCGCAGGAGGCGTCGTATCGCCGCCGGCGCCGCCGGCGACGTCAAACGCCACGGACCGACTCCGGGGCCTGGATGGCCCCACCGCCGTGGACGCAGCGGCGCCGCCAGGCGCCTCGCCGGGCGAGCTTCCTGCCGCTTGCGGGATCGACGTTGCTGACCGCCGCGACGTTGCCGACGGCCTTGCTGATATCCGCGTCGCGGTCGCGGTCGCCGCCGCCGCCGTCGCTGCGATCATTGTGGCGCTCGCGCTCGAGCTCGCGGGACGTCCGTGCCGTTTCGGGGCGGGGGGGTTGTCGCCCAGGGGGATGACCCACGCGGTGTTGCTTCTAGAGCCGCGGCCGGCGGCAGTGGCTGCAGTGCCGTCCTGAAGCTGCAGCGGCAGCGGCGGCGGCGGCGCCTCTGTCGACGTCATCGGCGACTGCAACGGCGACTGCGGCTGGCTGGCGCCGGCGGCGAACCTGGCGCAAATGCCCTCCTGAGCGATCAACAAGATGGACTGCTGCTCGGGCGGCGGCAGCGCGCGGAACGCGGCGCAGCGCGCCACCAGCGGCAGGTGCCGTACACAATAGTTCCGTATCATATCGTACAAATCCTGTAATACGGAAGTACGAACAACGTAGCGGGATGGAAATCCTGTGGTGAAAGGCGACATTTCATTTATTGGCTATTGAGCCGCTATAGTAACCCTCCCCTCCCCTTCCCATCCTCCATTTCCCTCCCAGAGACCAGACGACGACTACGCCACAAAAAACGTCGGTAGCGTGATGATGGGGCTTTACTTACTGAACCACGGGTCCGTGACTTCACCGCTTAGGGCTCATCACTAGTGGCAGTTTCGGACCTTGGATGCCTTCCGGCAGTTCAGTTCTCAACTCCTTTGATTTAATTCCCCCCTCTCTTCTCTTTCCCCCTCTCTCCCAGGGTCACCTGCATCTGCGACGCCTCGTCTTCCCCCAGCCAACTCGCTCCAGCGCCGCCCCGTACAGCCGCCGCCGCCGCCGCCACCAGCGGGCCGCTGCCCCACTGAGGCGCGACGGCAGCCGGCCGCGCGCCGTACAGCAGCGCCCGCGTGATGCTCGCCCAGCACGGCAGCACGCGCACCGCTGCATCCGGATCGGGGTGATCCACTACATGGTTTCGGAGCTCCTCCAGCAGCGCGCCCCAGCACTCGGATCGGTCCTGTCTGTGGGTCCCGGGCGGGGCAGGACGGACCAGGGAGAGTTGGGTGCTGCTGGGATCTGAATGAGAGTGGGAGAGGGCTTGAGGGTGGCATGAGCTAAAATCAATTCCTTGATCAGGAGCGGGGAACGGTAGTAGACAGAGGAAGAAAGACGAGCTGTGTGGTGTGTTTGCCATTGACGGTGGGCTGTATATCTGTCTGTCCTCCCAGTCGCCAAACCCTTTTATTTTCTCAACTCGCGTCAGCTTACGGTAATGCTCTCGTCCCCGTACGGTGACGGCGTTTCAGCTTCTAACCCGACGCGTCCACCACACACACATACATACATACACACGTGTCCGGTGCCTCAACAGCAAAACCGACGCACCAGGTGCGTTCCGAAGCAACAGCAGCAACCGCAGCAGCGGCTCCAACAGCCGACAACGATACTCACCGGAGGCCCGCTCGCGCGCAAATCTCCGAAAAGTTGCTCCAAATGTACGACAACGTGTATGACGTAAGCTCGCCTCGCATTTCCTCAATGCGTCGCGCCCATGCTACCGACGGCACGCCGGACAGCTGCCGACACGCCGATAGTACGGCAGGCGCAGATTCCACGTTCACTCGCGCCTTTGCCGCAGACAGCACATCCTCCTGGATGAACCTGAGGAGCAGGTGGGGGCGGAGGAGGGGAGGGAGGGGGGAAGACGAACCACGAGCGAGTGAAGGTGATGCCAAGGAAAGACTGATGCGCCAGAAGTAAAGCAGGCATAAATAACCAGTCGGTACTTGTGAAGAAGAAGAAGAAGTCCTCGGGGGGGGGAGGGCGGAGGGGGAAGGTGAGGGCGGAGGCGGGGTGGGCCATAGCGAAGGGGACACAGAGCGGGTCTGGGAGGTGGGGGGAAAGACGAACCACAAACGAGTGAAGCTGCTGCCAGGGCAAGACTGTACCAGGTTTGGAGGTGGGGAGAGGGGAGGGCTCCAGCTTCGTCCTGAAAACGACCAGGTGGTACCGCTGGTGGTAACCCGCAGTCATCCTCCCCGTCCTCCTTCCCAATCTGCCATATCTTCAGCCAGCCTTTTTTCAGGCACCCCTCCCTTCATCTTCCCCTTTTGTCGTTCTCACCGCTGCAGATTTGCAAAGGTACGCGTGGGCCAGGTCCTGGCGGTCCACGTTGCCAGCCATGTCGTACAGTCGTCGTACAGCCGCTGCAGGCCGCCGTCGGCGTCTCCTACTCCATAGTCCAGCGCCTGGCGAGCCAGCACTGCCACTAGCGGCACCGCCTCCACCGCGGACGTGCCGGCAGTGGGCCGCCTGCGGTTACACACGCAGATGGATAGATGGATAGATAGATAGATAGATAGATAGATAGATACATGGATAGATGGATACACACAGGGGGAGTCCGTCGCGTGACATGGCATGCAGGGCAGTGGTGGTTACTGATCGTTTGTGGTGGTCGTTGAACCAACAGACAACGGCCGGGGGTTTCGGAGGCGCGTGTTCGGTCCAAAGCAAAGGATGGCGGAGTAGCAGCAGTAGCAGCAGCATCGTGCATGGGACTGATCTGTGCTCTGGCCTGCCAGCCATATTCCGCCGAGCTACTTCCCCTTCCCCCTTTCCCTGTCTCCACACACATACACACACACCGTTCCTAAACCCGCGCGCTTCCACCACCGGGGTTACTGCCCCACTCCTGAACACACATACATACATGCATACGCACCTAAATCCCGCACAGAGCCCCTTCCTGAGCGACGTGAGCACGTGCTCCTTGACCTCGTCCAGACACCACAGGTCCGCCAGACTTAGCAGCTCTGCGGCGTTACTCTGCGGGGTGGCAGTGGTGCATGTGTGAGGTGTGCATGTGTGCGGTGTGCATGTGTGAGGTGTGTGCATGTGGGATATGAGCCAGCTGGAGGGTGTTATATCCTGACGGTGTTGGTGTTGGTAGTGTTGGTGAGCTCGTGTTGGTGATATTGGTGATATTGGTGATGGAGATGGTGGGCGGTGCTGGTCATGGTGGTGATGACGGTGATAGTGGTGACGATGGTGCCGTAAAAGCCAAGAAAACAATATGTATTCCTACGTCCCAGGTGCTTACTGCCAAAGACATGCGCCATGCCCTCCTGATCCATCGCCTTCAGGTAGGAAAGTACCGAGTGCCAAAACAGGCAACGTGTTCGGGTGCAGCGTTATGGCGGATACACCTTTTCACCCCGGAGACGCCGCAGTTCAGCTTCCCGCCTTCCCTTTCCTTCCCTCCTCCTCTTTCCCCCTCCCCCCCCCCGCCCCCACTCACTCCGTTCACCTCCAGGGGGGCCGCTTCGGGACCCCGGAGCAGGAAATGCAACACAGTCGCAGCCAGAGCAGCCCGACATGAGCCTGGGGGGTGGCGGTGGTGGTGATGGTGTGTGCGTGTGTGTGGGGGGGGGCCGGAGGGGGGGAAAGTCACATGCAAAAGTGAAAGAACCGACTTGTCAACGTTGCGGTGGGAGGGTTAGCAACACGCGCCGGCGCTGGTTACTGCAGTGATGACGTGTGCTGCAATGCCCAACTTAAACGTGAACGCACAATGCCAGTAGGACATCAAGTGCCAGGCCATGTGGGGAGGTCGGAGTGGAGTGCCGTGTGGGTTAGGGGCTTGGGCATCGCTGCAGGGACCGCGACTATTCGGTTCCGGTCGAAGCGGCAGGATAATGGCGTGGCAAGAAGTCCCGGGCAAGGCTGGAAAAGAGCAACCAGCGATGCGACTTACCGGTATGTATGTTAAGCACAGCTGGAGGGTCGCTGGTGGCTGCCTCCTCGTCGCTGCAATCTGGCCGCTTGGGTGCTTTGGCGGATGTTCCGAAGTCCAGAAAACTCCGTAAATACTGCGCAGAAGGGTAAGTGTGAATCAATATAACTTTTTATGCACAAGGCAATTAATGCATTCGAAAGATGTCTGACACAACCCGCCTGGAAGCGTACCTCGCAACCGCCAGAACGAAGCTCCGCAAGTGAGTAATCAGCCACGTCACAGGATGAACCATCCCGTTCTCCGTGTAAACGTAAGATTAGGGACATGGTCGCGAAAACGCCGTTCCTGAACGCTCAGTTAGGTATGCCGGTGACCTAATGCGCTTCAAGTCTCTGGGAAGCCCAGCGGTTTCTTTGAATGTCGAGCATGCCCAGTCTTACAAGACAAGTAATCATGTAATGTGAGTGGCACAATAGAGCTCGGAGCCGCGAGGCGTAACAGTTTAATTCGAGTGGGGTTAGGGGAAATGAAGCAACGTGAATTGTGTGCTACAAGCCAACCTAGACCCTTACGCCCTTACACCTGTCCATTCATGAAAGCGGAGTGCCGGTACTTTTGAGGGACTGCGCCAACTCGTACTGGTACTGCGATTCCGGACACGAGGCACGCATCCGGTGAAACACGACATGGCGACAGAATCGGCGGAAGTTATTATTGTGGAAGGTTTCAATATAATGAATTACTGCATTCCTGAGACTGCTTGCATCGCACGCCGCCTCCGGTTAGTAAGGAGCCGGTTATTGAACCGAGAGACAGTTTACGGAGTTAAAGAAAAGAAACGAATTTCAGACAACTGTTTGCGGACAAGGTATACGAATGTGAGAGTCTTAAATTAATGTTAGCGCTTCTTCATCACAGGATTCTTTCTTAACATTTGGCTCCGGAACCTTGGTTTCAATCAGCTATCGATCGCTCTGTTCCATGTGTCACAATTGCTTATTTCTACCCTGGCATTCCTGTAATTCGAATTAATGTTGCAGAAAGTAAACTAAGTTAAGGAGAACGCCTCTTTTGTCACCCAATCGCCTCATGACTTCATGAAACAAATGTACTGAAATTACATAACCTGGTCACCCGTAGTGGAATGAAAAATTGTGGATCATGTTAGACAACCCTTAAACAGCCTAGTCCTGTCTCTTGCCTGTGCTCGCTTTGGAGGACCTAACCATCTGCATTACAACATTTGGCACGGTCACATAGATAACGGTTACGACTATGGGTCGCTCCAGGTCAAGGTCTCGCACACCCAACAGGTCGGGTACCGGGCCTGGCTTACGAGGGCTCATCAGCTCTGTATGTCCTGGCGTTCATCCAATGAAAAGATATCCAACCTCTATGCTGCAGGAATGAGGTTTTGCGACCTGCAGCTGAAAAGGCGGCCAAGGCGAACAGGTGTGGTGTTTCTCGACACCCGGTACGGCGATCACGCACCGCCCTGACCCTCGCCCCCATTTTCAATCATATGTGAACTTTCCTGAACTGAGGTGACTGACAAGCATTTCGCCCCACAACGTGCTTCCTCCCGCACACAATCAGGCGGTATCGAACGAAGGCGGCCGAGACTACCGGGTGAGCCAGGTCGCGTCCGTCGTGGCAGATGTTGGCTGTGTACGCATGTACCAACTGACCTTGTGAACACCAGAAGCTCACCTCCGCCAAAACGCTTTCCCGTCCTCCCGCCATCTCCCGATCCTTTGCCCTTCCTCACCCTCCCTCGCCATCCGGGTCCCTCACCGCCGCGTCTGCGGCTGCCACCACCTTTGCCGCCTCCTGCTGACACGGTTTGCCGCTGCCGCCGCTGTGCCCCCTGCCGTTGCAGTCTGACCGCCACGGCCTTGGCTCGTCAGCGTCAGCAGCTCCTTCAGCTGGAGGAGGAGATCCTGGCGACCATTGAGGCGGCCGTGGGGGCGCAGCTGGCGGAGAAGCTCGCATCGGAGGAGGTGCAGGTGGAACGAAAGGGAAAGGGGGATACAATCATGTTCACTCGGATTTTAGTGGCTCCACTGCTCCATTGCCGTAATCAACTTTCCTGACAGTGGCCTCCTTGAGCCGCACGGGGCGAGGATTGACGATATGGTAACGCAGCTCGGAATATGAAGGTCGGCCGGCGGGTGGCCGCGGTGCGGCGATCGTCGTCCAGAGCTCTTGGCCCACAAGGCCCACTTAGCTGGGGCAGGGGTTCCTGGGGAAGGAGGGGGTTGGGAAGGGGAGGGGAGGGGAGGGGAGTTGTCTGCACATTGGCCCGGTTCGGGCTGTGGGCGTGTTGCGAGCAGGGGTTCCCGGCCTGCCAAGGTCCCCGTTACGAATTTTAGGGCTGCTGCTGTAAGCCGTGAATGCCTGTTTGTCCATACGTATGTACGGCTGCAGGCGCGTATCCAGGCCCGACTCAAGGAGGAGCGCGCCAAGCTGGAGGCACAGGTAGCGATGGGGGAGCCGCGTGTGTGTTTGTGTGTTTTTGTGTGTGTATACAACGCTGGCTTGTATGGGGGTTTGCGTGACTGGGTTGAGCTGCTTCTGTTTGGGACAACAATATGTCGTCACAGAACGATGAACATGTCGGTGATGTAGGGGAACGAAGCGTTCCCTGCTTGGCTTCACGTCTGTCCGTGCATTGTCTGTCTGTCTGTCTGTCTGTCGTGTACAGGTGACGGCCCAGCTGGAGTCGGAACGACGCAGTCTTCTGGAACGGAAACGCCGCGAGGCCGACGAGGTGAGAGAGTGCCATGTCGGGGGAGCTAGCGGGGGCGTTGAGGGGGTAAGAAAGGAGGTACGACACCTCCTTCGCTCAATCAACACCACACATGTACTCTTTCTTTCTTCCTGATCCATTTTTATTATGATTCTCCGCATCGCTCTGCGTGCCGGGAGGACGTGTGTCGGTGTGTGTGTTGTCCAATGCTTTTTTTTCCACCTGTGGTTTCCTCTTACCTTCCCAGCCACATCAGCTATTGCCCTAAGGACGCTATATTCCGCGTCCCCCACCCCTGCTACTACGGCTGCTGCTGTTGCTGCCGCTCGTGTGCCAGGCCCGCAAGCGGCAAGTGGAGTTGGACCGCATTCTGGAGGAAAACCGTATCAAGGTGCGAGTGATATTGGACATGTTGGGGCAGGGAGGAGGACGCGGCGGCGGCGGTGGTTGATGTGCCACCGAATGGGCTCATCCGGGCCGGCCTGGCTGGCAGGGCCACCACCCTACTATCCTGATGACGCGGTAATGGCCGATGTGCGTCATTCATCGATCAGACTCCTGCTCGTGTGAACCTGCCGTATGGCTTACATGTTGGACGGCACCCTGTACGGTGTTTTCTGCTGGCTCCGGTGCCATCCCCCGGCCCCGATTTTAACCCTGTCTTTCTTCAGGTAGAGGAGGCGCAGCGCAGGGCGGCGGAGGAGCGTGCGCGCCGCGACGCCGAGTGGCAGGCGGCGCTGGAGTCGCGGGTGGCGCGCGGTTTCCGACCGGTTTGATACGGCAGACGGGGTGGCGGGCGATCCGTCGGTCCGGCGCTCCTTGATGTTCGGTCTGGTTCTCCAGCGCGCCCCGTCGTGCCTTTTGCGCGAGATGGATTGCTGCGGGGGCCTGAAAACCCGAGATCAGCTGCTGCGCCAGGACAGAGAGGAGGAGGCGCACACACAGGGTGGGGTGTGTGAGGGAGATGTGGGAATGGTAGACGTGATGAGCAAAATTGCATTATATTATAAAAAACGCATTGAACACAAAACAAATATGACTTTGGGGAGCTCCGAACCCAACTTTTCGTGCAACGGACTTCGGAAGACGATAACTAATGTCGTACAACTGTACATACAAGATTTAAAAGCAGATTCGGAAAGCTCTTGTCGACCCTTTAATTTTATCATGGGCTCCCCTAAGGCCTGTATCTGTCCTCATACTGCTTTTTAGGGTGGGCACTGTCATGTTGCATGGGTTGGGCTTAACCGCGCCGTTCAGTCCTCAGATTATGAGTGCACCTGCCATACGGTGGGGTTGCCTGCCAAAGGGCTAAGATGTGAGTTTGGAAAACCTGGGGCTGAGCTAGGGCAGTTATGCATTCAAAGACCAGAAACTGTAACCGTCAAATCTACGGCACGGATTCGCAAGACAAGCATGGCTCGGACGTGGGAATGTACGTGGAATGGGCGCAAAGACTTTATTATTCTGATTTTTGTGGGATTAGTGTGGCATCGGGAGTGGGCTCTGTGGACGTTGTGGTCAAGCTAGGGCTTTGGCGCTTCTAGAATGCGGTGCGAAAGGAATTAAATCACTGTGACTTTCTTCCTACGATTTTCATTTGTGGCCTAAAAGTGTGACGCGGCACCACTCTTACTAGTAAACAGGCGCACGCAATGCAGGATCCGCCATTTCAATCTGAACTTCAGGGAACTTCTGCCCGACACCGAAACCACGTGCTGTGACGCCTGCCTTCGGCCAGTTGATATCCTTTCAGCGCTTTTAAAGTAGCCGTCGCGTTTCCTGTAGACTAAGAATGCTCAATCCCAGAGAGGCGAGGATATGCTGCGACGTGCCTGGGTGCCCCCGGGGTAGTAGTTCCAACGAACTCATCCCAACTTCCATCATGCCGCTCCATATCTGAAAGCTTTTCATAGCTAAGACATGGACATACGTTATGGCTTTTTAAGGATGGTGCTGGGCGTTACAGAAACGCGTGGAAACGGCTCGGAAAGCCTACTGCTGAAGCCTCAAACCTTCAATCATCGAACCAGGACAGATGAGGCGGGCGGCCCTACCTACTTAATTGAAGCTAAGGCCTATCTTCTCTGCAACTTTATGTGCAATGTGGATTGAGCAATAGCTCAATTAAAGGATCTAGTACGGCAGGTACAAGGAGGCCGTCCCGTTCAAAGGTGGCCAGTTGCTTCCTCGACCTTCCTCAGCAGGTGAGAGATGATAGAAAAAAATCCTCTAGTATAGCTTCTACGTTATTGACATACTGTAGGACTGTAGGATAGTTAGGGAAGTGGCCGCCGACCATGGCGGTGTCGCAGAACGCTGCCGCAGGTCTTTTATGTTTATCACCACAATACCAATGTGGAAGGAAGCTTAATCATAACCTGGACAACGCTGATGGCATGGGGTCCTTGAAGCCTGCCCTTGGGGGGTGTGGGAAGCAAGTTGCACAGCCGTCTTGTTCATCCAGGCCAGAAAGCTGCAGTGAAATCTCGTCGCTTGCTTCTGAGGTCTGATACTGCCACGTTGAAGTGCTGCGCTATAGCTGTGTTCGGTCGGCAGTCAAGGCAACGTCTGCCTTCCCTCCGCAGAACGACAGCTCCTTCATTTGGCAGAGGTCCTCAACCCAAAAAGGCGATGAGGATGTATGTTGTGCAGCTTCTGGCTCGCCTGTCGGTATGCTGCACTGCGAGGACGCACTGGAGGAGGATGAGAATGAGGACGAGGACGCCACGCGCGAATGGGCTCCGGGCAGGCCAGGGGCATCAATTATTGGGCCTGCGTATCACCATCTTGATGCCGAGGAGACCCTCAGGTATGGAATAAATGCTTTGGCCTTGCAAATCGATATCAGGTTGAAAGGGACTTTTCACTTCCCTTGTTTGCAGCAACGAAGTGAACAAGGAGGAAGAGCTCGGTCCATTTACGGCATGTCCCCTCCCAGCGGAATATCGTCAAGTCTTGGTTCCCTGGATGCGGGAGGTCTGCAATGCTCGAGCTCTTTCACCGGCAACGTTTTTTGCTGCAGTATCCCTGTTGGATAGATTTCTTCGCGCTTCCGGCGAGGTAAGACCTGCCTTCGTTGTATATGACTCTACGTATATAGCGTGAATCTGGTCTTCTTTTGCAGGGCGCAACACCACCTTCTTTGCTTCAGCTCGTCGCTCTGACGTGCGTTGCGGTCGCAGCCAAGCTAGAACAGGTTGGTTCCGAAGTATGGGTTGCCACTACATGGGTTTTGAAGATCTGCTTATTTCTCTTATGCCGTGCTCTTACCGTTTCCGCAGCAACAATGCGCCAGTGAACTCCTGAGCCTGGCCCGGGACGAGAATGGGAATCTCTACAAGGTAGGTATGCTCATGGCTGTCCGTTTGTTGCTGTATGCGATCCTAAGAAGGGGCGCATGGGATCCTGTGCAGGCGGACGACTCTCGCATGATGGAGATTCATTTGCTGGACATGCTCGGATGGCGTCTTCGAACGCCAACAATCTACACCTTTACGTCGCTCTTTCTGCACCGTGTCGTGAACCGCCCGCAAGATGGGCAGGTAGTGCCGCCTGGGACGGAGGCGCACTTTCGCGAACTCGTGCTGCGCTTGGCGGTAAGCTTGTGTACTACTACTGAATCTTCTGTAAACAGGGCCGTAACAACTTGACCTTAGCTTGATGTTCCACGTGTTGGCCTAAACAGGAATTGGCTGTGCTGGACTCCGAGCTGACGTCGGTAAGCTACAGCTCATTGGCTGTGGCATGCATCCTGGTGGCCGAGACCGAGATCAAAGGCGGCCAAATGCACGCTAGCTTGAAGACCGTGGAGTCCTTACGAACCGTGCCGGGACTGAGGGATTTATCTAATCTTTCGGCTCCTGTTCAGAGGCTTTACTGTCTCTACAAATCGTTAACTTCCTCATCTCGCTAAACCTACCGGGTCCAGAGGGTTAAGCAAAGTTGAATGGTTTAGCGATTGGCGCCTCGTCGTGCCAGTCTCAGCGGATGTAACTAAGTCTTGAGAGTTTTTTAAGATTGGTAATTGCCCAACTGGCAGCAGATCGGCTGTGAAAGCAGGCAAAGACGCAGTGCTGATGTATTTGGATAACGGTGAATAGGGAGGCATCGCACCGTGCTGCGGTGATGTTATGTCGGGTCCCCTCGCCATCTTTCTTTTGTTCGTGTTTGTCGGCATGGCGCGTATTATTACTGTTGTGGACCTGGTTTCCTTCGTGACTTATTCACAACAGTCGTGTGTGGTCGATGTTCCTGACAGATCACCAAGCCACTTGGTTGCTTGTTGCTCGTTGATGTATGGTCTTGAGTGATATCCGTTGATGTTTTTCCAAGAGCTTTACCTAACTACAATGACGTTGCAGATGTTTGGTTTTGCTATTGGACGGCCCAAGTTGACCTTACCGTAGGAGCAAAGTGGAGCCCACGGTGTCATGCAGGACCAAAGGTTATTTGTGGCGTGTTGTCGCAGTAAACCAGCATCTTTGGTCAAAGCGCACACTTGCTTTGGCGCCAGTCGACTGGACGGGTGGCTGTTTTGAGACAGGAGTGTATGTCCCTTTCGCTCGGGGCAAGGCACCGGAAAGCCATGTCTTATCCTTGTGCACTAGGAGCGGCTAGATCCACTGCTGCTCGCTAGGTAAATGCTTGGCAGCGGCTAAATGAACGGGAGCTTCATTGCAAAGCATGTACGGATGACCGCAAATGTTTTGGTTAAGAGTTTAAAGGCTTGGGGACGCAGGCAGTACATTGCCATTGCTCCAGTTCTGCGCATGTTAGTGTCGTAGGCTCTGTTCGCACGTGCACGCGCTCTGCGTAGCTAACATGCAAGTGGACTCCCACGCTTGAGTTTAGGCGTTGACAATTGTTTAGGTTCATGGTTTTACAAGCGACTCTAGAAGTTGGAGCAGTATTTAACAACCTGAGAGTAGATAGACTAGTTCCGATGACTGCGGCAAGGGTAGTCCAGAGATGTAGGACTGGGGTAGACGCAGTTCGCACGCGATGTGAGGTCTTACCGGTTTAGGCCGCGACTGCATTTGGAAATGGAATGTGTGATGCTTGTCCATGGTAAGGTTGGATGTTGCTCGGACCACCACTGATGCCTAGGTGCTTGCAGGTAGACGAATTTAGCCTGGGTTGGCAGATCACTAAGCCAATCTTAAGTTAGCTGTGGCTTCGCGCTGGCTGTTCCGTCCAATCCGCCTGAATTGTTAGTTTCGTATTGCGACCTAAACTTGTTGCACGACGTTCGTCTATGCGCATGGGCTGTCCTGTCCCGTACTGAGTATGTTTTGCGCTTTTGACGGTTTTTGCGGGCCAACGACTTTTACGTATTGTGCCCATTCCCTCCGACGGAAGCCTATTCCTTCTGCGCTTGGTAGCTTGGATACTGTGCGGAGTCGTGAACTTATGGTTTATCGTGCTTAGCTGGACGTGCACTCGCGATCATGGTATTTTGTCAGGAGGCGCGCCCGAGCCTATCTGCAATGTAGTAGAGGAAAAAGTTGGCTGTGTTCAGTAGTGGTCTTCGGTGCCAGGTATAATTGTTTGCCATGCTGACGACCGAGTTGGCAACTATTCTGTATCCATTTGTCCCTTCTTATTTAACCCTATCACTATTATTGAACTGACTCGGTTTTTGCGTATGCCTGGATGGCTCTTATTTCTAGGAGGCCATAGTTTCATGAGGGCAGATTGTCAGTGTAATCCTGGTCTCATGGCGCCGATATCTGTAGGCAACATAATTATTGTACTGCCAAGGAGTTTCGGTCCCTCCTATGTTTCGGTGTGCACGTTATTGTAAGCACAGGCAAAGCGTTCGCTTACCAAAACATGCCATTCCATAGCTGGTGATTCCACTGCAAATCGCTTGTGCTTACCTACATATATATCGATCGTCCTTACTGTGATGACGTGGCAGAGTGTGACCCCGAAAATATTTCGATACTTTGCTCCGAACTAAGGTAACTAAAAGTCGCACTGCATAAACTTCAGCCTTGGGGCTAACAAATGGCACAGACTGAGAAGAAAATTAATAAGTGCGTGGCAGAGGGAGTACAGCTTTTCGATTGTTGGTATATCGGTTGTTTGAAAGAGAATGCTCGCGCGCATGGTCTCTGTCTTCTATACACAGGCACAGCCGCTGCGTGTATCAGTCACTGAGGCCTCAAAATGCAAGAGCTTCAGCCCATTCAGCGCGTTCTTTTGGGACACAAACACGGCTTCCCTTTCCAGCCATCTTTTCCACGCAGTCCCAGCACCCTGCCCAGCACTATGCTAGCGGCCCAAAACTGCCCGTCATGGTGACTGCAACGCGCGCAGGTTCAATGACACCAGCGAACATGCTGCTTTAGTTCTATGTAATCCAAACAGTTATATAATTCCTGTAAGGGGATGTCACGGGATGGGCAATGGGTTAGATTCGTCATTCTCTACAACCGCCAACCGTTTTACTAGCTTGCGTTGACCGGTCACACAGTAATATTTCAGCGCTGCTGCTGTTCCTAGGCCACTATAGCTCTTGCATTGGCATAGTAAAACGAATAATCGGCTGTGCGATTGCCGGAAGCTGCATCGCCGGCAAGTACCCAAGTAGAGCTAGGCAACGAAAGCGGAACGTACATACATAAACATTTCAGATATATTGTTACTGCTGTGAAGATCATTTACCTTGCGCGAATTTGGTGAGAGGATTTTAGCCTGCTGTGTCCTCAGGACCTGCCAACACAGGGCCATCGCGCAAAGGCCACATGGCTGCTCAGTCGGCAGAAGGGCAAATCGAGCGGATTGTTCGGGAACAGAACAAACCATTCGGCCTCCAACAGCTCGTCGACTTGGGCGCGACAACAGGATTAAAAAAAGCGCAAGTCTCCAAGGCTGTTGACAGCCTTGTTGCTGAGGGGAAAATTCTTGCGAAAGTATGCTGGATGGAAATCCTTGCTCGAGGCAGCCAGCCACGCGTTACGTAACGCCCGTCTGTGCAACCTCTGTCAGGAATTTGGGAAGACCAAGCTTTTCATCCCACCGCAAGCCGGCCTGAAGGTTCTTTCTAAGGAGGTGCGCTTGGGGCCAATCGCTGGGCTGACCCACTTTTCACGCAAGGGAACCCAAGTTCGCCACTCTAGTTCGCAGCGTGTACGCTTCACCCTCCTGTGCAACTAACTTCCTCAGCTATTATGCTCAAGCTGAGCACAGTGCTGGTGGCCCGTCGCTCACCACCAGCGGCCGTGCACGCCTGGTTCATGGCTATATGCAACAGCAACGTCTGCAAAGCACGATGCGCCGCAGTCCGTGATGCGCCCCTGGCATGAACCCAAAGCCAGCCACAGACAACGGGCGGCATGTCTTTCCAAATTTAAGACAGCTTACTCGCCTGGTAGGCACAAAAACCTGTTTCCACTGATATAAGTAAATTAGGGATAAAAAGTTCCCCCCTCACCAAAATCATGAAGTCCATCCTTGCTGATCCGCCACCATTTGCTTTCCTGATAGCATTAATTATATAGAGGTGGATCCTGCTGGCAATCAACGAGTCTAGGAACAAGCGCCTTGGCGCCAGGCATCGCCCAGTGTGCAAACCTGACCACGGCGGCCTTAGTCCTTCGTGGTGGAACCACCACCAACGACCAGGAGAAAGAGTGGAACGGGAAAGCAGGCCAACTGCGAGGAACAGGAGAGGAACAGAAGAAGTTGAAAAACGTAGCTGTGAGCTGTTGCCCAATGTTGCGGCCCCCATCATCACCCGCAGGAGTTCGAGAGTCGCAAGACAGCGGTGAGGCAGCTGCAGCAGGAATGCCAGAAGGAGGCGCTGGAATGCAAGCAGCTTGAATCAGGTCCGCGGGTTGCTGTACGTTGCTGTTGCTGCTGCTGCCACTGCCATGACGTGTGGTCCTGGAGGTGTGGCGTACCGCCGCAACTACCCCCACCATCACCACTGCCCCCGCAACACGGACTTCGTCTTGTTGGTGCTGTAGCATTACCACCTTCAGCTCGCGCGGCAGTTGCTGCTGCTGCTGCTGTTAAGGTTAACCACTACATCCCTCTGCATGGCGGTACCGACCTCACGTCGTCATCGAACTTTCCACCGCCGCTTTGCCCTACCTTTTCCTTTTTGTTGTGTCCTTCTTTAGCCCTCTCTACCCCAACACACGCCATCGAGCCCCATCTCACCCACTCCCTTACCTGGCGCAGAGCTTGCGCAGCTCCGCAGCGCCCTATCTGAGGAGGAAATTGCCCGGCAGACCAGGGACATTACCAAGAAGGTATAATGTGGCAGGAGGCCGTTGAATTCTGAGGCAGGAGAATGTCGGGGCCGGCTGATGACCGATCTGATGCCCAGCGGAGAGGGCGCCGGGGGGGTGCCGTTCCGAGGACCCGCACGGGATGGAGCGACAGAGTGGGAGCTGACTACGGTGTATGGGGCCGTGATAGTGCGCAGGAGGGAGCTCACAATCCATTTCTCATCTCTCACTGACTGCCTTCTTGCAGCCCATTCTCATGGCACATCATGGGCAGCCTCATGCGACCCCCCTGTCCTGTCCTGTCCTGTCCGTTGCTGTAGCTCGCGGAGGATGAGACCAAGCTTAAGGCGTTCAAGGCCGGCAGCGTTCTGGTGACTCCCGAGGTACGTGTGGAGGTGCTGGCGCGGCGGAAGATGCGGCGGAAGCATAATCATGGATTGTCGCAGCGCCGTAGCGTCCAAAGTGCGTAGCAAATCATCCAGACTATGTTGGGGAATCCAAAGACGGGCGTGAACTCTCTTGTAGAGTTGAGGGGCCTTGGTTTAGTCGTTGGTGTTGGCGAAGAGAGGTGTGTGGGGGGTTGAGACGAGGCATCACAGTTGGGAATTTGGCGCGGGGGATCGTCTACATGGTGCACACTGGGTCACAAATTGTTGGGAGATTACACGGTCCGGATGGTCCTGTCAGAATTGGTACTGCGTTGGGGCTCGATGTGGGTCAGGCCGAGCCGCAGGGCGAGTAGGGCGTCACCACCGTCGCCACCCCTACATCACCGCTGCGATGTGGTTAGCATTGTGCACCAGGTCCAAATAAGCTTTACCGCCATGCCAGCAGTACGGGGGATGGCCCTGGTTCGAAGAGCAGCGATGGTGGGAAAGGTTTCCCGGGAGGATTTACAGCCCAGCCTGGGCGTGTGGACATGTGCCATGGGTATTGCGATTCTCTTTGCTTTCGGTACTCTTCCATAGCCATGTTGACGACACCGTTGGTTGGGTCGCGTCGTTTTCGTTCGCTTTGGTTCCGCACCTGCGCGACCCCCGAATCCGAGCCCACCACCGGCTGGCGCCCAGCCGTTCGGATTGCCGCGCGACCCGGCACCACCTGCAGCCGTACCCTTGCCCGCTTCATCCCCCATCTGCTCTCTCTCTTCCGCACCCTCTCAGATTGATGGCTTGCTCTGTCTGTCTTGACTGACCCGTGTGATTCTGCTCCCTCCCTCCGTCAGGAGCGAGCCGCGGTTGAGAAGTCATTGACGACCAACTTGGGCTGGTGGAGAAAGCGACGAGCCATGTTTAAGAACATCTGGTGGGTGGTTGTGGGTGAGCACGCTGAGGATTAAACCGAGGCAGCTATCGCGATGGCATCCGCTGCGGCCCTACGGTGCAACGGCTGCAGACCTCGTTGTGGATCTAGCCCAGCACAGCGCCCCAACGGCGTGTTGAGTGGACGCCCTAGGGGTGTGCCTGTTTGTCTGTCTGTCTGTCGATCTCTTATGTCCGTGCGATTATGCGCCAACATCACACCTGCGGCGGGTCCCCGGTGTGGCTGACTGTACGACGCGCAGGTCCACAATCTCTGAGGGTTTGGACGGCAAGCAGAAGGATCTGTTTGAGGAGATCGGCATTGAGACGGACGAGGCGGCTGGCGCGGACATGGCCGAGGCAGAGCGGCTGCTGCCCAAGAAGCGCAGGTTGTAGCGGCGTGGCGGGCGGACCCAACCGCAGCTAGCGGCGGCAGTGAGATGGTACGTGACAGCACGTGCCACCTCAAATACCCAACAAACGAGATCAGTATTTAAGCTGTTGGCATTTCACAGCATGCTGGAGGCGATGACCTGGAACGCCGCGACGTCTTGCTGCAGCAACAGCAGCAGGAGCGGCATCAGCCGCACAGCTAGGGGCTAGGGATGGGGGTGCGCCCTGGCCGCCTTCCACGGGTGATGGGAGGTGGAGTCGCCGACTGGCATGGCAGCTGGAGTTGACAATTGGTTGGACCGTGTGCCTCGGAAGGGCCCTCCTGGAGTCTGCCCTTGGGAATGAGACAAGACTTTTGCTGCAAGAGCAGGGATACGCTTTCCATGTGGGGCCCTCTGAACTGCATGGCTGCCTTTCGGATGCATGTCGCTTAGCAGCCTGAACAGAGGCTGGCGACCCGGGGTTGGCCCCATTGCAGGATGTCCAAGGATTTGCGTGTTGCCTCGTTTGCGTGTCCTTTCCCTGTGTTCCCCTTAACGGTGGTGCGCATGTGGGTGGGGTGCCTTATGTGGCCAAGGCAACTAGGTTTAGTAGCTATGTGCCGTGTGCAACTGATGACGTGCCAGAATGCTTCATGTCATGGAGTCCAGCGCACGCTTGACACAAATTGATTTTTGTTTATACGTGTGACGGCATTTTTCGCGTTCGATTCTTGGCCCCAAGTTAGGCTTTACCGAGTTACATACGTTTAACGCCTACACCCACTTAAACACAGAACCCGCATCTTTTGACATCCTTTACGTTTTACCATCTGGGACGTTTTGCCTGCTACCCACTACTCTGCTGCGTTCGCATGTGGCATAGGCACGCATAGCATCACACGTCGTTGTGGGGTCCAGGTGGACAGCTGCACGCCTACACAGGTGCAAGCTGCGAGGGTGCAGACTGGCAAAACAGGGCCTTGCAAAGTGGACATTTCATCGCGTCGGGCGTAACGATCCGCACACCCAGCTTGCCTATGTTTGCTCCTAGAACCTGGGACCGGGGCCGGGCACAGGTTTCGGGGCTTTTTGGAATACTTTCTCGCTGGCAGGGCCTACTGTATTGCTTCGCCTGCTGTCGTGGCAACACCGAATAATGTTTTTCTCGCGCACAGGCGCCAAATGGGATGTTCCTTCAAGCACATGTACACGTTGCACAGATTCATTACTTAGAGCGGAACTCTACAGCTGAGCGGAACTCTACAGCTTGGTGGTTCAGCTCTGAAGCGTCTAATGCGTGTTTTGAGGGTGCTGTCCTCTCTTCCGATCCCGCCCTCATCCCGGACGTGGTTCACATACGATCGCCTCCACATAGACACACATGCTGAAATGCATGCACGGCGAGCCAAGCTATTGCAAAGAAATGAAACGGATGACGAAATAGATAAAAAAAACAGTGCCATGGACCTGAACAGGCAGAGAACCTTCGCCGTCCATCTCCGTTCCGTGACCTGTCACTGTCCACCACTCCTCTGCCCACGGGTTGGGCGGCGCGGACACATCTGCTTTTAACGCGTGCAAGTCTGCACGACGGTCAGGCACGCCCCCGGCCAGCACGCCAGCTTGGTATCTTTGCACACGTATGTTCCCTTAAGACAGTGCGAGAAGAGAACATTTAAGTACGATGCCTTAACCCTGGAGAGTAGCACCTGTCCCTCTGCCACTTCTACCCGGAGAAGAAGTGCCCAAAATCCAGGAGGACACACACACGCGCACAATTGTGTGTGTTTGCGTCTTCCTAGGGCGCTTCCGCCCGCTGCCGCCCATTTGGGTCGAGGAGTGTGTTGAGTGTTGAGACACTGTTGAAACGAGGTTAAACACGCAATTGAAAACATGCATTGTTATGCACTACCATCCATGTCACGGCACCATATACATGCCTACACAGCTGTATAGTATCAGAGCGCGCAGCTGCTCCAGGTATGGTCCTGCTTTACTGCAGCCCCCTTGTCCAGCACCTTCACGACGTCCTTATAACGCTGTCCGCGGGCCCCATCGAAGCCACACAAAATCGAAGGCAGGTTCGCGATGGCCTCTTCTTCTGCCTGGCCGTGCTAAACAAACCCAGATCATGACGAGAGCACACGCACGTCACGACTTTCCTCCAGCTTCACCGCATCAGGGTGAGGGTACCGGCGGCATAGGCGGGGAGCTGAGCAGGGGCACTAGCAGCAGCACAAACGGCAGGAAGGCCATGCCAACGAACCAGGGCCCGAAGCCGGGATCCTTGAGCTTTGAATACTGCCATGTCGTAAGGGATGTCCCCTCCGCTGCAGTTGGTTCAGAGCCAGGAGAGGTGGTGGGTTGCGAGTCTGGTGTCGGGTCCGGGGAGGCCGACGCGGCGAGGCGGTGCAGCGCTCCTCGATGATGTGCCGCGAGGTACGGACGCTGCCATGCATTTGACTGCGGAATGTGGGGTTACAGCAGACGGGCGTCTATGATCTCTGGAACAATGGGAACTGGACTGGTTGTGTACGAGTGGCCATCATTGATTCCTCACCGTGGTGCGCTGTGTGAAAGGTCGCTCCAGCAAGAGTGCCGTTCGCTTAAACATGCAAAGCTGAGCAACCATGATAGGTTAGGCCTAAAGCTAAATTGTAGGGACAGGCAGCGTTTGAGCGAAACTTTTAGGAAGAAGGAGGATAGGCAACTGGGACAACTGTGTTGATAACAAAACGATGCCTATAATTTGTTGTGCATATGTGATGAGCACAGAGGCTATAACCGCCCCATTTCGCACAACCGCTTTTAGGGGCTGTTAGTCGGTTAGAGGACGACAATGGACCAAAATCGCTAAGGGCTGAGCGATATCTCAATGGAGAATCTTAAGTTGTTTAAAATTTTGTAGTAAGATGACATGACTTTATTGTTTTGGATGCTGTGCTAGGCTAGGAGCACAAAAAATGGCAACTCTGGCTATCGACCTCAACTTAATCTACAAATTGACGAACGTATCAGATGTCACAAAATTACTGCACGAGACTGTGGCTCGTGAGCGAGCTATCGATCAAGACTTGGATAGGCAGCTGAGCAAGCGGAGCGACTTGGAGCGTAACTTTTTGTTACTGAACACACCGACAGCTGAGGTAACATGATATTGTGTTTCAGGTCGATAGCTATGTGGATGGGTAGAAGAAAACTGTTACATGATCAACACAACATTGGTAACCTGAGGAGCATTGGGTTGTGTGATAAAACCTCAACACTTAAAAACTAAACTTTAACGGACTACGCTGCAGACTTTGGAGCTGGTGCGTGCGGACTGCGAACAGCTCTTGCAGAGCGTGCAGGGCACGGCTCAGCTTGCGGATAATATCAGCAGCAAAGTGCGCCAGTTGGACCTTGTCCAGGGCCGCGTGCAGAGTGTGCTCAGTAAAATCAACCTCATCCTTGACCGCACCAACTGCATAAATGGTGTCCAGTCGGCCATGGAAGCTGAGGTGCGTTTTGCCGAGGGCTAGGACACTATCCGGAGCTCTACCCTAGTCACCGCACTCCCGCATGTGTTTCGTGGGGCCATAAGTTCTTGTCCCCGGGCCTCCCACTAGGTTCACACGAGGTTGATAGAGAGCGTGATGCTGTTGCTGATGTACAATGCCACATGGAAGTGTGATCTTCGGACTTGGGTTAGGATTTTGAGCTTAAGGAGGGGCCACACGAACGACTATAAACGTGTGTTCCCACATCACAACCAATGACTGTGCGCAACGCCCGAAGCAACACCCACTACCAAGAACCAGGCCGCCAGATCCGCTCTCCCAATCCTCCCATTCGGCCCACATCAGCCCGGCGCGCCCTACGACGAACACAAACCTAAAATGCCTAAGCCCAAATTAGATCATCCACGTTCCAAATGGCCGCGTGAATGCCGTGGCCCCCTTCCCCACCTGCCCTGCGCCTTCTCTGCTATGGTCCTTCTTCCCTTCGGCCCCTCCCCCCTCCCTCCTGATCTGGATCCTTATTACTGTTTAGAAAGCCAACCGCGTATAACGCCTCCCCCTCGTATAGGACTACGAGGCCGCAGCCCGTTACATCAGCTCCTTCATGGAGTTGGAGAATCGTATGGCGGCGGCTCTGGCAGCAGCTGGACCGGGATCGGGCCCAGCGGCCGGCGCGACGGAAGCAGCCAGCGGGAGCAGCGCCGCAGCGCCACTGCCGCACGGTGCAGCGGACGCTAGCCAGGCAGAGGATCAGCGGCGGGTAAGTGTATTGCATAATGCCGAGCCGATTTGTATCCGTGTGCCCGGGAGCCGGCGCGGGGGAGTGAGACAAGGGGTCGGGACAAGGTGGGAATCATCGACCCCAGTGAATTGGCTGGTCCACTCCCGCAGGTCTTGATGGAGGTTCGTTCCCGGTTGGAGGAAATAACGGACCGGAAGTTTGAAGAGGCAGTGGCGCGGAGGGACCACACGGCGGCGGTGCGCTTTGCTCGGCTGTACAAACCACTTGGCAAGCAGGTGCGGGAGGAGGAACGGAAGGGGGACGAGGAGGAGGAGGAGGGAGTACGGCTTAGGAGGTATATGGTAGCTGTTTTGGCTTAGGCAGCGGGCGATAGCGCGCAGCTCTGGCATGTGGACTCCATTACATGGTGGCCCAGCCCTCATTATCGCGATCCCACCCCAACCTGGATGCCCCAATCCTTACTGCCTGCAATCCGTACTTCACACCTTTACTACTTCCTAATCGCTCGCCATTCCCGTCACCATGTCGCCGCCACTCTGCTGCCGTGTGCAGGCGGAGGGGCTACAGCGCTTCACGGATTACCTCAAAGTTGTGGTGGGCGCACAGGTGAGTAATTAAATAGTGCTGGGGCTCGGGGTCTCGTCGGCGCGGGTCGGGGCGGGGTCAGGGTTATTTAATCCTGACCTTCTATGCAGTACAGCCGGCGGCTGTGCCTACCTGAGTGAACTGGGGTTCGTGCCATTTTTCCAGTGCGTGCCAAGCCGGGATTATGCACTTGCAAGGTGCCCTCTACGGTGTACGTTTGCATGAGTTTCCCGTGGTCACGACCCCCACCGACGCCTCAGGCCCGCAACACGTACACCGCCCTGGTGGAGAAGCTTGAGGGGCCCCAGGCTGCAGCAGCAGCAGCTGGTGGTGGTCGCGGCAGTAAGGCGGACTTCGCCGCTGCCCTGACGGCCCTGTTCAAGGACGTGGCGCTGTGCCTGGAGGTAAGAAGCACTGGGCTGCCTGGGTTGAGGGAGATGGGAAGGGGGAAGGTGGGAAGGCTTTTCGTGACGTGGCACGGTCGTTTGGCCGTCCGCGTGTAGCCGGCTCCCCAGGCTCCCCAGCCCAGTAGTAGCAACACCAGCTGTGTGTGGTGGGCCTCAACTGCCACCTTGTTAGGACAAAGAGGGCCTTGTGAGTCGCCACCACACAGCCTCCACTTGCCTCGGAGGGCTTTAGGTTGTTCCCCGTAACCTAACCCCCTGTCCCTCATCCGCCTTGTCTACCTCGCCCTAATTTCTGACCTGCTGCTTCCATATTTTTCTCCCCCCCTCGTCTCGCGTGTTATCCACATCCTGCGCTGCTCTTACGTGCCTGTGCCCCTGCCCAGGAGCACGAGGGGGTCATCAAGGAGACGTTCGGTGAGGCGGCGCTTCTGGATGTGATGGCGGGGCTGCAAGTGGAGTGTGATAATGCGGGTAAGGGCGCGATGGATTGGGGAGGGGATTGAAGGATCGTCCAACCCGCTTCTGAAAGTGAGAGCTGGCTTCTCAGAGATTGAATGAAAGGGACCGTTCGGCTGCTGCGGATGTCAGCGGGGGGAAACCCGCCGTGCGTGTGTTGCGGTGAACCGTGCCGTGGATAGGAACTGGTGAGGATGGCGTTTATGTGTGTTGTTCAAGTGTTTGTGTGTGTGTGTGTGTGTGCATTTTTAAATCTTCCTGCCGAGCGGGGAGAAACGCCAACGCGTGTGATTGTGTCTGTGTTGGCTGATGGAGGGCAGTGGTGGCCAGGTCCCCAGAGGAGGCCGAGACGAGGCAAACAGGATGTCGAGGTTAAATGAGTGGAGACTTGTCGGGGGCCCTTTTCCCGGGGGAGGGAGTAGTGTATCTTGGGTCCCATGCGACTGATCTGCCCGGTGAATGTCTCGATGTGGTGCGATGCATGCGGTTGGTGTACCTCGGCGCCCTGCACCCGCTTGTGCACACACATACACACTGCATCACACCTGCACTTGATGTTCCTACCTCTATTGTACACATAACTGTCTGCAGGCAGCCGCATACTGCAGCGCTACTCGGATAACCGTAGGCTGGAGCGCGTCGTGCGGGAGGTCACCGGCCGGAGGCGTGGAGGCGGAGCCGCAGGAGGAGGCGTTGGCAGCGGTGCGGCGCTGCCGTTCAGCGTGGGTGGCCAGCAGGCTGGCCAATCCGGCAATGCCGCCGCTGTCGCGGCGGGTGACCTGGGTACGGACCACCGAGCTGTCGAGGCGCTGATTCAGGAGGTGCTCGAAATTTGTGGCTTGTGTGAGGAGTACAACCAGTTCATGTTGGGGAAGATGCGGGCTGCAGCCGCTGCCGGGGGAGTCGGCGGCGGTGGTCGGGATAGCGCCGGCGGTGCTCCCGTGGGGACGAGCCACCATTTGCCGGCGGCTCGGGAGGCGACGTTCAAGTGAGCGGGGACCAGGAGGGGGGTCGGAGGTCTCCTGGGGTTCCGGTGGGTCAGGAGGTGAGCGCGATGGATGCCTGTTGTGTGAGGTGCGAGTAAGATGCCGGAAGTACTCGCTCTCTAGTGTGGGGACGTGTTGGGCGGTCTATGTGGCGATGGCGGCGTGGACAACTGCGTAACAAATATCTTCTTTTCACACATGCCGACACATCTACACACACAAGCACACACATACACATCTACACACACAAGCACACACATACACATCTACACACATGCATTGCGGCTCATTCGCACATTAAAATCAACATTCGTATAATTACAGCAATTGTCCTTCGGTGCTGGCCACCGCGCACCTTTCCGATCACCTTATCCCCATTGCATCCCCGGCACCATGCCAAACCTTTACCTCTTCCTGCCTTCTCAGGTCAGGAGCCTTTAACGTGTCGCTTAGGGAGCTGCTCAGCCGCTACGTGGCGCTGGAGGAGTACTACCTGGACGAGACGGCGTCCATGGCCGTACGTATAGATGAGGTGGTAAGTACAACGATGGTACGGCGGTGCGGCAACAGCGGGGCCGCCGATTCCGAGAGGGGGGCGTTACGAGCCTACCACCAGACCCGGTCAGGAACTGGGCCGCTGGGGTGCTGCTGGTGCCGCACCATGGCTCATCATGTATGGTTCACGATTAGGTGGGGAGGGGAAAAGGATTATTCCGCGCAGCTGCCTCCTGTGATGGGACCGCCGCGCTGGCCAGCGTTCCTGTGGCCTGGCTTTGGGTTTCGCTTGCAGGCGCCCGTTTTCTCGTGTCTTCCCTACGGTTATTCCTTAACGTAGTCAAGAACGGAAGGACGATTGGCAATGCTGCAGTAGTCGCCGGGTCGCACATGCGCTTTTCCCGCTTTCCTCACTTTCCCTCCCTCCTGACCTACCCACCCGTGAGCAGTTGTCCGGTGCGCTGACAAGCAGCATGGTGGATGACGTGTTCTTCATCCTGCGAAAGGTGCGTCTGGAGGGCCCCCGGTGCCGGGGGGGGAACATGCGGGAGGTGTGCAAGGTGGGATGTGGGGAGCTTACGGCGGCATGGCCGAGGAAGGGGGAACGGGAGAGGAGAAGGGCGGAGGGAAAGAGAAGGGATAGTGCATTCCAAGCCTATCAGGGGCCTTTTCCCGGGGCTGGGGCTGGGGCTGGTGCTTGTAACCACCTCCTTGACGACAGTCCAGCCACGCACATGCGCACAGAAATAATAATTCATTGGAAAGTTCTTCCGCTTCGCTGGACTACGGCGCACGCTTCGGTAAAGTTATTCGTGTACCTCCATCGGCAGTTCCCTCAACGCGGCTCAGACCATTAAAACACACGGAATTGCGCGGTATCCTTGGTACAGACGTGGCTCCACTCAGGGTTGACCGGCCGCTCCTTGTCCCGTGTTCATCTCCTCGCGTGGCACGAATGTCAGTAAGCGGCCTCTTCGCCTGCAGATCGATCGTCCTCAAACGCCCGTCAAGCTCCTCTTGTCACGCGGTTCCACCCGTTTTCGCCCATTACAGAGTCATCCACTTTTTCCAACACGCACCCTGCCTCCCGCCCCGCCCCATGCACCCGGTCTCCCCATTAGCACACCTACCGGCCTCACTCACCCCTCCCGTGCAGGTCGGCCTCCGTGCGTTGGCCGCGGGTCAGTTCCAGGCGACGGCAGCCCTGCTGGCGGAGCTGAACAACGTGCTGGCGAACCTGTTTAGGAACGCGCTGCAGGTAAGGGACGGATGAGTGAAAGGTGAGGGACCGAAGACGTCTTAAGGTGAAGGTCGGTTTCGTCGGTTTTGTCTCCATGCGGAGCAGCGCGTATGGTACGTGCACGTGTGTGATAAGCATATGGTAGGTGTACGTGTGTCTCCATGAAATGAGCAGCGAATACAGCCGGCGCTGTAGCGGCTAAACGGCAGGCTGGTGGGCGACCAGGGCCATTTACAGGCACGAACGAATATCACTCCCCTCCTGGGCCACTTTCTCCCCACAGGCGCTTTTGCTGACACTGCTGGCGTCGATGTTCAAATAGCAAGCAGTTTTAGCATCATGATATCATCCTTTAATACCTGCCCCTGCCGTGTGGCTGGTCCCCTCCTATCCCCTCCTAGGCCAAGCTATCCGCGGGTCCCTCTAAGGCCCTGGCTGCACTGCCGCCCCAACTGACCGGGATGGCGATGGTGGATCTACAGGGTGCGGTGACATGGGGGGGGGAGGGAAAGGGAAAGGGTGGGCGCCAACCGGGGGCCCAGGCGTACTGATGGGGGTAATGAAAGTCATCGGGTCGGATTTATTTCGATCATGGCAGGCAATAAGGGCCATGGAGGTGACCTCAAACAGAAGAAACGCAGTGGGCTCGTTGGGGGCAAAAGGGGCTCGGATGAGTAGCTCGGAAGTTAGCTAGGCGTTAGTGTGCGTGTGGAAAAAACTCCTGCTCTTTGAACCACCGCCCTTTACGTGGATCATTGAGGCACGGATGGAGTTGGGGACTTGGGACCGGCCCAACAGCTGCCCATGCTCTCCACTTCGTTCCCCTCCGTAGCCCACCACTGATGGTTATGTCCACCGGCAAGGTTACTTTTCCCCGCTGCTGACGTTTCCTGGCTGCTTGGCTGCATACGGCAGTTTTTTTGTGAAACCCTCTTTACAAACCCATAGTTTGTTCCACTTGCCCCTCTCCCCCTGCTTCACCTTCCGCAGGTTCCCCCGCGCTCAGTGATCTGGCAGTGGCCCTCAACAACACGGATGTGGCGGCGGACTACGCCAGCAGGCTGAGGTCGGAACTGGAGACCCACATCAACGGGGTGCTGGCCTCGCCGTCGGATAGGGAAAAGTGAGTCGTATTGCAGGCATTGCCGCAGCCGCTGTGGCCTTCGCTGCGAATTCGCTGTGAATGTACTATACTTAGAACCAGGACTGCACCGCTTGAAAGCAATGGGCCAAGTAAGGGAGAATGGCGACATAGGCAAGGCCGTACAAAATAAAGTAGGCTGCATGCATGTGCGAGTGCTTGTGTACACGGGCATAAGTGCCGGTGCTTTCCTTGTAGGTAGGGGGGCCAAAGAACACGTGCTTGTGGAGGCCCCTATCCATGGCCCCTCTCCTGCGCCTTCCCTCTCCCGTTTCCTTATCATGGCGGTGGCGTTACAAGCAGCTCTTGCTGCATTTCTCTTTTCCCTTTCCCCTCGCCGTCTTGTTGCTCTCCAACCCCTGCCTGGCCTCTCTACTGCTGTCAACTCCCCTTACCCTGGCTCCCCACACCACCATCCCCATTCCTACCAGTACCGCCACCGTTGCTGTATCCTTCTCCCACCCCTTCCCTCCCAGAGCTCGCTCTGTGTTGTCGGATCTGGCTAAGACGGGAGGTGACTTCCGCTCCATGGCGGCCCGGGGGTTGGAGTCTCTGGCGGAGGGATTGCTACCTCGCATGAGGGCGTTGCTGGACGAGCTGGCGGCGGTGAGGAAAGGGGAAAAGTCCATGGATGCGTGTATGTATGTTTGCCGTACATTTCCCGCGGCCGTTACCCCATGTGTATTGACACTCTGAACATAGGCTCAACACAAGTCTGCAGTTGTGCAAGGGACGTAATGTGAGCGGACTGTAGAGTGTGATGGCAACATTGCTGTCCTTATTGTTGCGTCTCGTTGATGAAACGAGGGCAGAACATGAACGGTTTCTGTTGGGGGTTGTGGACAAAGCGGGGCTCGCTGAGGTATTTATTTACCCCTCCATGCTTGTAGGTTCCCAAGTACGTTTGTATGTGCTAAAACCATCTGGACTATCCATTATCGCGTCCTTCGTCATGTTATACTTAGCTTGCACTCTCATTTACCTCATTTCTCCTACATCCCCAATCGCCTTCCCATGTCTCTCCCGGGCACTGCCCACGCACCACACCACACCGCACTGCCTCACACCACCCCCCAGATGAGCTACACGCTGACGGAGGCCGAGTACGCCTCCCTGGAGGTGGAGGGCGGCTGGGCGGGTCGCCTGGTGCTGGCCCTGTCCGGTCTGTCTTCCCTGATGCGATCCCTGCTGACAACCAGCAACTGGGAGGTGCTGTTTGGCTCGCTGCTGGACAAGCTGTCCGCCCGGCTGGAGGGGCTGCTGGGTCGGAAGCCCTTCAACCAGCTAGGCGGGCTGCAGCTGGACCGGGAGGTGCGGCTCTTGATCAGCGGCCTGGGTGACCTCACCAGCAGGACAGTGCGGGACCGGCTGGCGAGGCTGAGTCAGATGGCGGTGTTGCTGGGGCTGGAGACCGTGGAAGAATTGCTGGATTATTGGGGCGGGCCAGGAGGGGGAGGGGGAGGGGGTGCTGGCGGCAGTGGCAGCGCGGGTGGAGAGGTGGGAGCAGGCGGTGTGATTAATTGGCGCCTGTCGCCGGCAGAAGTACGGGCCGTGCTGGTGTTACGGACGGACTGGAGTAGGGAGGCGATTATGGCGCTGCCGCTGTAGGTGAGGGGGCTGGGTGGTTGGGTGTAGAGATGGCAGTGTGCGTGTGGACTGTGGCGGGGGGATGCCGGATGCACTCGTTGTTGTAATGGAGGCGTGCGAAGGAGGAGCGGTGGGATGCACCATCTGCACCTGCACCGGGGTTCACGCCGGACCCTTCGGGCTGCTGCAGGGCACATGTAATCCCCGCTTGGGTGCAATCTCCCTGCTTGGTACAAATTGCTACTTCCAGAATGCTGAAACTGCTTCGTGGCCTAAAAGGAAAATGCCTGTGTGACACCTGCTACATGCTTCATGTTCCCGTGTACCCGCTCCATAGCACTGCAGGTGTGCAGAACTGCGGGGTGTTTCCAAAATTCCTTCCCTGCCCATTGTCTGTAGCAGCCTGTAGCAGAGGATACGCTATACCCAACATTCTCCGTCGCGGTGGCATGGGTAGCCGTCATTCGTTGAACGCCGTTGGTACACCTGTATGTATGTCCATGTGAAGTGCGCGGAGGACAGTGCTTTGAGGGAGAGAACACAGGAAGGACCCCCACTGAGGTTCGGTCGGGTGCTAGGCTCTATGGCGGCGCTCTATTGCAAAACACGGAAATGCCGCTGCTGCCGCACCGAAGTCAACCAGCATCATGGGCTTAGGTGAGCAAAGCGCAACCATACACGCACCACGCAAAGACACTAGACCGATACACACAGTATAGCCGCTGCACTTCGCTTCCCTTTTTCCATGATTGTATAGAGCTACAGCGCAATGTCACGACCTCAAGAAGCTTAACGAGTACGAAGGCTGTCGGGCTTTCATGGGTCTATAGTTCGCTCAAGGCTGGGTGATGCGCAACCGACATCACCACACGTGTCTGCCTCCATCAGGCCGTCAAAGTTAGGCGCTCCGTTACGCTGGTATGAACCTGAGCAATAGGGGTATTCCTACAAGGCGTGATTTCGGAAGTTCCCACATCCATAATAGCCACGTTTCTGCAGGTGTAGAAACTGCTGTACTTTCATGTCGTACCTAAATCTACGGGCTTCCCTACTTTTGCCAGTATTTCATGAAACAAAGGATTGCCAAAAAGATTTTGATCTGAATCAGGTACCAAAGCTAAGCAGGTCGGTACTCGGCGCCGGTACGGCGACTTCCTAGGCATGCAAAAACGTGGCTAATGTCCGGTATGTACGAATATGGTATGGACTGTCCCCTCATCGTTTTGTTATTCAGGTTTTGCGAACAAAGGGCTCCAATAATTATTGGCGGCACCCAAAGACGCTGTTGCTAGTCCAAAAGCAGAACCTCTCCTGATATGCATCGAATGGATGTGTACTTAATCGTAAGGGATATCTTATGACCAGCAGCCCCAGGAAGGCTTATACACATGAGAGAGTTATATATATATATATATATATATATATATAGCGATAATGTGGGCTACATGTTACAAGTTGGCCAGGTAGGATCCCCCCACGAAATAGGGTGCCCGTGTGTCATTATCTTAATACTGTGGCCAGTTATGATGGCCAGGGGAGACGCGGGCATAAGTTCGAAGGGTGACGCTGTAAAAGAGGCCAAATTCAGGTATATACTGGTATCCAGCTGTTATGCCGATGTAGAGTCGCAGCCCGTCGACGGGCTGAGTTGCAATCGAGTCACGGCTGCGAAGGTATTCACGTTGCTTGTCAAACATGTATGCGGTCCTGTGGTATTGCTCGTGCGGAGAGAGTTACAAACGCGCTGCTATCGGCTACAAATTAGCCACGTATCGACCTTTCCCAGGTTGCGCAAGGACGCACAGTTACGTGGTCATTATTGGAAATCAGCTACACAATCATAACATGGCCGTTTGCAGGTTCCGGCATGAAACGATAATGCTGTGGGCTGGATGTGAGTCCAGCAAAAATACCTCGAAAGTTACGCCGTACGTAGCATTCTGGCAGCGGTCCATTTCAGTACAGTTTTGGTCGTAAGCTTGACAAAGAAACATATAGGCAGCCGAGTCGACAACCGCAACCAAAGAGACAATCGCGTTCCAAAGTCACCAATAATGCAGATCTGCAGTTCGGTGTTGTTTCCGCCTGCAATGTAAGAAGCGCGCACCTTAGCATATTACTGGCCTCCATCCCTCCCTTCCTGCTTTCTATTTAAAGTTTAGCACAATTTCTCGTTTTCCTATAGCTACTCGCCGTCGCGCCTGATAACAGTCAAAGTTATTTTCGATAGGCAATTCTACTTTTGCGGATTGTGAGATAAACCTAAATATTTTTGGCGCTATTTGATATAGTTACTTGCGCCTGGGGCCAGCGGAGGAACAATCCTTCGACTCGCTCCGACTCCCGAGAGCTTACCTCGCTACCTCGCTAGCTACCCCGCTGCTTCCCGCCGTCACGCCTGATAACAGTCAAAGTTTTCGATAGGCAGTTTTACTTAGATGTATTGTAATGTAAACCTAAATGTTTTTTGTCGCTAAATTATAGTTACTTGAACCTGGGGGCCGCGGAGGAACAATCCTTCGACTCGCTCCGACTCCCAAGAGCTGTCCGTCTTGACCTGCACCGCTAGGTATCTTCTTCCCATTAAACAGCGTATAGTTCGTGTAAATTCGCCAGTTCCAAGCTCCGGCTCCCCAGGTGCCAAACAGGCGGCGTTGATTTTTGCAATTATGCATAATACCGCAACCCAACAACCTATAGGATGTGTGCCCACATTCACAGGCAATACCGTGACTAAGTCGGATAAACTAGCCTTCGTAAGCATACACCGTATAATCAGCGCGCGGCAATCGTTGTCAAACCTAAGCAACTGCGTTAGTCGGTCCATTTGCCATTGCGTGTGTGGCTCAACCGGGTGGCTCGGAACCGCCAGAAGAAGGCTCAGGTAAGCAATTCGAGCGCGCATATAATGCACGGAATTGCCAAATCTCGGCGCGATACAATCTGTGACAAAGGAACGAAATAAGGGTTTTCTATTGATTTTAGTTGCCTGTCTGAGCTCTTCATGCTCGGAAGTCGAAGGCTTACGAATGAAGAGCAGCGGCCAGAACACTTTAAGCACACGCACTCCAGTGCAACCAAAATTTATGCAGCAGAATAGCGCACGTAGTTGGCAGCGCGAGCAATGCATGACTAGACTATGATAGCCCTGGCATTTTGCTTCGCTCTGCAATCCGTAGATGCGTTTCCCCGGATTTTAAAGCCCGCCGTTCAGCTGATTGTATACCGTTTCTAAGTACTGAATATTTCAGCAGCAGCAAGCTTTTGAACCGCACGATTGTACGAAGCAAGGGCGCAATGTCATAGGACATTGCTCGCCTGCCTTTCCCGCCCGCCCGCCAACTTAGCAAGGACAGTTGCTGTTAACCGGAGATCTTACCGACATCCACAACTTCGTTGGTCCCACCGAATGCTGAGCCCTTTCACCTACCGTGAGAAGGAATACACAGTTCCCATTACCTCTTACAGCCAATATTTAAGATGGTGCTTTTGAAGCGCATCTATGGGTAGCCCTTTGAGCGTAAATTGGGTTTTGGGCAGGGCGTGGTTTGCTCGTAAAGGAGCTCGCAACCATGACCGTGTAACCCGCCCTTCACACCCACTACCTCTATTCACAGCTCTACGGAGCGACAGGTTTACGTTGGCGTGCTGTTCGCAGGAGGGTCAGGCCACTTCAGTAGCTTGTGGGGTATGCACGCAATCTGCTTGTGGGTATGCAGCGAGCTGTGGTGGCGTAGATGCCGATAACCAAGGCCAGTGACGCACAGTCCTGCACAGCCGAACGGGACCTGCATCACGGTAAACAAGTCCTGCAGTTCAGTGTTCGAGTTGCCTATATCCCAGCCTCGTTGTCCTCTTGTTTGCGCCTTGCCTTACCTCTGATCGCTGAAAGGGTGGGCGCCACCGAAGACACTTTAAATTTCCATCTCTTTACCTAAATGTCTTTTAATGTATGACATTACTGTGCGTGCGCACATATTTCAATCTCACGAATGCAGCACGTTTAGGCAATATGCTGGGGGAAGAAGGAGTCTTGTTTTAAAGGGCTCGTTGCAGATACGTTACGAATGGACAACATTCAGTAGCACTCGCTTGATGGCCATCCTTCGCGGCGCCTGCGCCCATCTTTGAAAGCCATGTCTCACAAGGAAATTGGGTCAGCCGTATCCCGTCAGGGACTGCAGATCTGCTGCAGCTTGAGGCTTTGCCGTAGATGGTCGGTGGTGGCGGGCGACCTTTGTGAGCCCTTTGCGTGACCACCAAGAGATGAACCAGCGATCTGGGCCGAAAGGGAGCTGCGCGATAAGATACGATTCGTGAAAACAGATCCCCTGAGAACTCTGCCGTTGCGTCGGGAGTCGCGATTGGTCGAGTGATGCTGCTTGGCGGAAGAACCGTGTTCATACGAATTTATTATAAATGCTTGCGGGTTCCATGTGGCCTAGGAAATGATTCAAGTTAGCTTCCTGATTATATTATTATTGTAATTATTATTCATTATTATTATTATTATTTTAGTAAGTGCGCGTCGCGGTTGGCGCCATGCGACTTGGTAGGAAAATACTGATATACGGAAGGTCTACCGTGACAATAGACACTAGAAAAAGGTACACAACCGGACTCACATTACGGCCTCCACCATTTTTCAGTTGCAAGACCACTTGATAACCTCCGCATACCCAGGAAATGTGCACATATTGGTCTGCACGCGCACAAAGGAGTTTAGACGTGGCTCCATACTCCTCCCCTCAGCTGTCTGGTGGCATACTGCGGGGTGTAGCGCCGGCCCCTCGCCGGGCGTTGGTACCCGAGGACACTTTAACGTGGCGGCTACGGGTGTGATGCATCAAGGTCGAGGCGGATGCATCAAGGTCGCCCAGGTCAAAGGTAGCTTAAGGTAGGTGCCAAGCAGGAATAGAAGTAACTCGCCATGTGACTTACCTTGCATCGCCCTTGAAATTTAAATTAATAATAGAGAATTTCTAAACAAGGCGAATTTCGGTAGGAGCCTGCACCATAACATCAGGCTGTCCCAAGCTGGCGCAACTGCCACTGCAAAAGCAAGCGTCCAGAATTGCAATCATACAGTGAATTGGCTATATAACTGGGGTACATGTGGTCTTATCCTAAGAGGTCAGAACGCGGATCCCTGACAAGGTGGCCGCGAAACGCAGGCTGCAAAAGTCCAATGAAGATGTAAATGGTTGTGTCTTACAGCGCATAGCATGTTATTTCCAAAGCTCGCCTTATAATGTGAATTCGGATGCTTTCTTAGAGATAGGCTCGACCGCAGTGTTGCTGTTGTAGTCCGGCAGTGGTGTACGTCAGTCTCTGGCCTGCAATTCTTTTGCTGGCCGCCACTTTGACGTGATAACATCACGAGCTATACGTTTCCATGTGAACTTGATGAGGACATGCATGAGAGCACAATCCAGCGCCCTCCGATGGCTTTTGGCTGCGGCCTCTAAAGCCTATGCCCTTGTGCAGTGTACCTGAATACTTGGATTTTTGGCTTAGGAGGGTGGATAATGGGGGATCCACAACCCCTGGCACAAGAAGCGCTTAAGCCGGATACCGACGAACTCAATCGACGACAAGCTGCATCTTCGGACTCCGATGGATCAGCCTCCATCGATGAAGATGATATGTCTGAGAGCGGAAGCGAGAATTACTATGAGCCCACCAGGCGAGGAGGCTCGCGCAGGATAGCGAACAAGTCCCCCATGCGAAAGCGACGAAAGCGGCCTGAGTGGACGCGCAATGAAGTGGGTATATATTTGGTCATCCCGGCACCATTTGGAGGCTTTCGGTCACAATATTAGCGTGTCTCTAACTTGCCGCCTACCGTTGTCATTCGAATCGTTGTCTTCTTGTATCAGGAGGAGACGCTCGCCCAGGTGCACTGTGGTGTTGGGAATCAATGGTCAGTCATCGCTGCGCGTCTTCCAGGCAGAACGGCGAACGAGGTGAAGGCAAGTGAACCGGTTGTTTTGAACACCCCTTTTCCTGGTAGGCTCGAAGATACTGGGCTGTCAGGAACTCTTACGGCTCAAATAGCCTATAAATTCCAACAACCGGGGGGTTTTCGCAGTATGGCGTCTGGTTCGTGAAACCTCTTGGGAAGTGGAAGTTAGCATTTGCTGTAGGTCGACCCTTGAATTGCAGCCCTGGACAATGGAAGTACATGACGCTCTGCAAATAATCTTGTTTCCCTTATATAATATAGACTTTGATTCGGTTACTGTAGTTGTGCTTTGCCCGTGGATGTGCAGAACATTTGGCACAGCACGCTGCGTTCCAAGCATCTCAAGGCACGTTCCTTGCTGCGCGCATACGCGACGGCGCTGAACGGCCGTTGGGATGACGAGACCGCTCGCCATGAAGCATACACTGCCGCTTTGCGTCAGCATACGGTTAGTGCCGGCGGAACAGACCCTAGCACAGGAGCGTTGGAGGGAGGAGGCTTGCGGGACATGGCTTTCAATCAAGATGATGACACGCAAACACCTCGGATGGGTTCAGTGCAAGCAGGCGCCGGCACCATAGTGGCACAGACGCCGGACAACAACCAGAGTCCCGCCGCCGTCCTTGCTCGAAATCGAGGCGGACGAGGTCCACCGGCGACTGCTCCGCGCCCTTTAGCCAACGACAGAGTCACAGGCCGTGGTGGCCAGCATCGGCACCAACATCCCGACAATCCAAGGGTTCCGCCGTCCCCGACATCCTGTCCTACGAAAGCCATGCAAGGTGTGGTCGCTCTTCACAACACCTCCTGGCCGATTTTCCAACCGCTCCGGTTTAAACTGCAACTGGTTCAAGCTGCGGTAGCTGAACTGTGGCTACCGGTGACGTCGCTGGTGGTGATAGGGCACGCCATGGAAGAATCCCTTGTGCCGAACCTTAATGCCTCTACTGAAGGGTCCGCGGACCCAAGTGCGCCGGCTGCGAATTCAGGCGACAGGCTTGGCAAACTCCCTCATGACTGCCTGTGAAGGTCTCCATTCATCCTTTGACATTCTTCCCACTGCAAATGTTCGCGGGCCTGGGCAACGCACCTTTGTCTCATGAAACCTACCGACCCGACCGGCCATCTGTCGCTTCCGTTTATTTTAATTTCTTATAGCCCTGCAAGCCAGCTTGCCAGCCATCATTGCCCTGCTTTGCAGTACACTGACTGTCCATAAGCCATGGTGCGCTGGAAGGCCCTGCCGCGCTTCTACTCATTCTGATCTGCGGCCCGATAAGCCTTAAACCTCGTTACTTTCCATCGTCACCTTACTAACGTACACACTTCGCACAACCCGCCCAGGGCTCGTGAATCGACTCGAAACGCGCGGCGGCACGACAACCGGAGCCCGCCGGAATTTAAACGACGCACTGGCTTTCCCATCACGAGGACGAGTACTTGACGGCGGTTCTGCTCCTGGAACGAGTCTCGCAGTGACAGGGTTGGCCCATGAAAATGCGCTACCGCCAGCGACAGCGGCGAGGCCGTTACCCCTATCCTTCGCTGGTACCTGGGGCCCGCAGCTGGTGATGCAGCGCCCATGGCCGCACCCGCACCTGCGCGACGTCTCGGACTTGAAGCTGCAACAAGAACAACAACAACAGCAAGAACTGCAGCAACAGCAGATGCAACAGCAACAACAGCAAATACAGCGGCAACAGCAGCCGCAGCAACCTGTATTTCACCAACCGCAGCCGCACGGGGGGCCCCAGCTTACAGCAAGCGTCATTACCAAGAACGAGCCCAAGGACCCCTCAGCAGCTGCGTCGCCGCACCCAGGCCCCGGCCCACTTTTGGGATTCGACTCGCTCGAGACGTGGATAGGCAGGCTAGATCCCTCGATTATGTTGCAGGATGATGACCCCGGCGCCCGTGAGCAACTCTGTCGTGGTGGGGCGGATTCCACTAGCAGCAGCGTTGCACCTGCGGTAAGCGCGCCAGCACCAGCAGCTGCAGCAGGTGGTCCAGGTGACGTGCCAGGGGCCCTTCAGCCGACGGTGGCTAATACGAGTGCTTCCGGCGAGTTGGTGGAGTCGGGTGAGTGGTCCGTAAAGCCGCATGTTACATGTTGATCTTTGAAGGTTTTTTGTGCAAGTTTGGTGCCTGGATAATACATGCGGGCGTGCTAGGACTGTTTCGTTTCCTAGATAATGAGACTGCATTGTATGAATTTCAGAATATGCGTTTTGTCCATTTCCTGCACGCCTGCGGTGATAAGTGGTATATGTCCGTGCATTCCGCCTGTTTGGAGTGATGTCGCACGGATACGTTTGTTGTTAATCCTCAAACCTCATGCATGCGCTGCCTGCTGCGGCCTCTGCAGGCCGCAGCCGGCTGCTAACTTGGCCCCGTCCGGAACAACGGCTGCTGGGCCCGCCCAACACTGCTACGCATTATGGCCGCGCAGGGCCAGCGAGCGGTGCATGGAGCAGCAACAGTGGTGCCGGGGTACCCCAGCTCCAGCCCTCACCAACTGAGGGAGGTATAAATCTGCATCACGCTGGTTCCCAAGCTGCTGCGCCAAATTTAAGCACCGCCATGGCCATCTCGCCAACGGCGCGGGGAGGGGCTGATGTTTTCAGCGGCGGCAACGGTAGTGCGCAGGGTAGCGGCGCTGTGGAGCGTTTGAGCCCTGCCGCAGGACACTGGCACACCAGCATTACCGCCGCAACTGTACACGGTAGCCATGACCGCACCCTAGCTTCGCCGTACGGTCTCTCTGCAGCTGCAGTCTACGCTCCTCCGCCGGGCATGATCACTGGCTCAGAAGGCTGCGGCTGGGCCACCTCGCCAGGTGGCTGGGCTCTCGGCGCGCCGAGGCCGCCACTGCCCTTCACTGGCCGACCCGTTGCGTTGGGGCTTTCACACGAGGCCTGGCGCAGTGAGCTTCCGGCGCCGCAGGAGCTGGGGATCAGACCTGTGCCGCCTGCGGATATGCGCGGCGGTATGTACATGGTTCCGGTTCACGCGCCAGCACAACCGATCCCACATATGGTGTATGCATCTCCGCAGCCCCACGTGCCACCGTCCCTTGGCCAACAACACTGTAATAACTTCAACAGCGCGCAACGGCTGCGTCAGCAGGAACAGATAGTGTATCAACAGCAGCAGCAATGCTTGCATCATCATCATCATCAGTATCATCAGCAGCGACAGGAACATCAGCAGCAGTTGCGGTATCATAATCATGAGCAATACAAGGAGCAGCACCAGCAGACACTAGCTTATCAGCAGGCAGGCCAGCAAGAACAGCAGTACCAGCAGCAGTCTCAACAGTTTAAGCAGGAACCGCAGGGCGAGCAGCTGCATCAGCATTCGGAGGCGGCAAACCAAAGCCAGCAGCAGCACCTGTTACAACACCCATTGACCAATGTCCCATTGGCCCTATCGCAGCATCATCAGCAGCAGGTACTAGAACAACAGCAAGCACAGTCCTCGCATCTCGAGCAGAAATTGCCTACACAGCAGCAATCCCAGGTGCAGCAGTTGGAGCAGCACGCGGACTCCTTGTCCTCCTCCGAAGTGGTCACCATGGGGCTAGAATCGTTGCAAGACCCGCAGTTGCGATGGTGCTTGTTGGACATGGAATAATTCTCCAACACCGCCCGAGACCTTTGCACGCCGCCGGCCGCCGTGAACGCAACCGGAACCTAGCTTATTGCAGGACGGTGTCCGCGTAAAAAGGATGTGCCAGGGGCCGCGCGCTCACAATAGCAGAAGATTTTGTGGCAACTTAGATGTGTACTGCTTGAGTGAGATAGGTTTTCGAGCACGAGCGCGCGACTCTCCCTGGTGAGCAACACTTTATGTTTTGTCGAAAGTGCTGGGGAATGTGTTACATGACAGCAAGCCGTCCTTGGTAACAGGCCAGGGACTGCATTTTGTGCCTGGCAAGCGCCGGGAATGGGTTTACAGTTATGGGCCTTGGTGATCGTATGGAACGGGTTTGCGGGTTTCAGTGCGTTCCAAGCAAAGTTGCGCCTGCAATGGCGCCGTTCGGGCTTCTGTTTTATTTGGGCAAAGGAATGACAATGAATGCCAAGAAGTGGGCACATGCGTAATGTTGCATGCATGGTTTCTGTGGTAGTTTTGTCATTCTGATTTATTGCTATAACTAAGTTCAGATACCAGCATGCCGGAAATGATGCGCTTTTAGAGCTTTCTCCGCGCAATATAAGGTGAGTACGGGGTTGCTAACAATGAGGTACTGTAGCGTAAACATGCTCGGGATCTGGCCCTCCTGCCCGACGGCTCGGATGGATAGTTTCTCGACGCACATGTGCCACGTTGGTACCAGAATGAAAGGGTAAGCGAGTGAGGCGAGCCTTGCTCACAACGCGGAGCCGCACATGCAGCTTGAATAGCAGGATCTGCGTTACAGACGGGAGTTCAGTGCCCCTGGCACAGGCATGGCAGACTTGACATGACGTGTTCGGCGCTTGTACGAATTGACGATCGTACACATATGCAAACGGTTTGTCCTTGTCACCACTTGCATGAAATGCTTTGGTGATGGGATTATGCGAAGCATTGCTTTTGAACGTGTCGTTTTGCTTTTTCCCTTCAAGGAAGCAGCGCGAGCTGCCCAACCCTTCTTTGCTTTCTCTTTTCGTTTTTTCTTTCTTGCCTTGTTTTCCTGATATCTTCGTGTTTGAATAATGGATTAATGTTATACGGGGCCATGGCTTGACCCCGAAGAACTTGGCGTGTGTGTGCTATCCGCCACTTGACGTGGGGAGGCATCCGGCCTTCGTATGGTACTTTATGAAATCGCATGTTGCATGGATGGTTTTCCCTTTGTTAGTTTTCCGTTTGTTCAGTCGATTAGGCCAACATGGGCAGGAGCAGGCTCGGAGCGTAGGCACTGTCGGTGCCAGCATAGATTCCCACCGGGGCGTGCATCGTTAAGGGGGCGAATATGTACTAGAGGCTGTCGTGCAAAGTCAAGAGTTACTAGAGGACAGCATGGGATGTCGGCTGGTTGCAGCTACAGCTTTAGTGGTGGTCAGGTCAAGGGGCGTACTGGGTTGACCTTTACATGTCTCATGGTAATGAGGGGATGTGGGCAGAGCTTTGTGTACTTGAACTCCTTCCTGAAAATTCTTCTACTTCCTGAGCGTTATAATGTCCTTAAAGTTTTGGCCTGCCTCGGCCCTTTTGCCAGATTTGCTCAAGCAAATGAAGTGTGCGAGTGCAGGTTCAATAATTAATTTCTTCCGCTTTCTTAGCTATAAAATGCAGAGTTGCTAGGATTTCATCATGAGTGATAGTGGAGATCGATGCCGTAGATTAGCCGCGTTGACTGCCGTGTTCACAACGGTCGCCTTTGACCCTGGGATCCGGCTGCTTTAATGATCGTGAACTCGTTTCCGGAGGAGACATATCTTAAGTTAGTTGGCCTCTGCGCCGTTTCGTCGTCTTCGCTTAGTGTTTTGCAACCTCGCATATTTGAGTGGTTGGCTACCTGGCGGCCGGGGGGTTGCCATTACGGGCAAACTCACAGGCTACCTAAAGCATGAATGTCACCGCAACTGCTGCAGCCGAGATGTAGCGTGTACGACTTCTTTAGGTAGCAATCGGCATCGTTAGGACTGGGACGGACTGTGCATTATCCGCCCAGCCAACTGCACGGCGAAGCTAAACTGAATTAACATGTTTTACTATTTTGTCAGGATCTGGAAGAGGCAGGGACTCATGCATCACGCAGGAGCGCGCATGGAAATGTGTATTCCTGTCCCGAGACGCGCCACTTCTGATCCTGCGACTTTACACAACCCTTACGGGATCCGCGTGTTGTAGGAATGGCATGGTGGTATCGCGGAGTCAATCTTTATTGCTATTTATTTCTTTTTACTTGTTTCCTTCGGCCCCAGTAATCCAACTCGTCGACGTGTTTCGTTACTGTGAGCGTTGTTCGGTGCGTTATGTACCACGTCGTACCGCGCTGCTCGCAGACAGAGTTGGCCAGCCGGCATGAACGGTGTCGGGAGCGGCCGCACAGTGGCTTTGGAGGTATTGGCTATAGCTTGCGGTGATTGTGGCAGATGCTGCCGTGACGTGCAGACATGTTTCAACCCACTGGCCTGGTGTTCGCCTTTTAAATTGGTGTCGTTATTCCTTGGCTTAGCGCTAAGACGTAATAGCGCTCAGAAGTCGATAGCTCGTAAGATGTCACGGCTGTTACCTTGCCAAGCACGCAAGTATTTGTGGTGATGTGTAAGTGCAGGGCTTGGTTGCAAAGGTATGCGTCGTTGCGTTTGCGCGGAGATAGCGAACAAGCCTTTGGTGTATCTTGTAGATCTTGCTATTTTAGCATGCCAGAAGGGGGTGGGTACATTTGTGTAGGATAATTGTAAAGGACGGTATATTTTGGAAAATCTGAATCTCCAAACACCAAATTGAATACACCAGCATTGGAAATGTTTGACCGCCAGCGTGGAACCTCCCGTTGCGCGCACTTGGGATGGGCCCATCATGGGCCCCCTGGAATCCGGTTTACACTGCTAATGCGGGCTAGCTGCACAATAGCCTAATCCCGTTTCTTCTGGACGGTTTCGCCAGCCGTGGCTGTCCTTGCCAACGGTAACGGTTTTACTACTGTGTGCACCTTGCCGAGATGATGCATCAAGGCCCCTCACGCGCGGCATACTGTTCCGAGGGTAAGACTGGTGACAACCTATGCGCCCCAAAGTGTTCTCCAGAGCACTTATCTGCACGCCAGCTTTTTGCGGCCACCGGCACGATAGGCAAATCTACGGTACGCGAGTTCCCTACCCTACTCCACCCCACAACCCCACTTTCTAAAAGGCTAATAACATCAGACAGACCAGCTTCAGCATCTATCCACGCCCCTTCCGCAGGCATCAATATCTAACCAACAGAACCATTGCCACTGCCACCACCACGCCCGGCGACTGTTCCCCCCACTACGAGCGATGCTGAACCGCCCATAGAGCGGTGGGAGGACCGGGAGGGAGAAGGGGAAACACAGTACGCGGTAGTGAACCTAAGGCGGGGGATGTCACAGGAGCCCTGATTGCTCGTCACCACTGCCCAGACTGAGGCCCCCTGCGGTCTGAGTGGCCGGAGGGGTCAGACCGAGTAGCAACCGCTGGCCGCTGTTACCACCCTGCCCTTCTTCGCCCTCCTCCTGTCTATCCTCCTGCTGCTGCGGCTGCTGCCAGTGAGTGTGCGTGTCGGCGTTGTAGTACACCACGGCAGTACGGGAGGGTGCCAGGACCTGACGGAATGGCCGGCAAAGGCGGAGCAGTAGGGGGGATCAGGGCGAGCAGGTTCAATTGCATTCGCAACCTGACCGGTATGATGATTCTGCGGATGGAACGGAAGTCGGAATACGGTGCGACAAATTCAACAGATCGCATCCACATGCTGGAAGGTCAAGGTTTCGCAATAGACACTTTACCCTCTTCACACACTTCGCTACCCTTCACGCAAATACCCCCTCCCCTCTCCCCACCCTCCACTCACCCGAATGGAGTGCTGGCGGTCCCGGCTGGTTCCCGCGGGCTCCGGATCTGAAAAGTGGTCCATATCATGACCCACCTGGGTGCCACCACAACAATGGGGAGGGCCGCAGACAGACAGACAGACAGGCAAGGGCGCTCACTGAGGCAAGTGGAGGCTGGGGAGGGCGAAAAGACCATTCGTTGTTGAGACGGGCTAGTCGGGAAAGCCGTCATCGATGCCGACAACGTGACTCGATTCAGGACCCAACGCCCCTAAAACCCTAAAACCCTGGCGCGCACGACGCTTTCTTCCCCACACCATTCCAATTCCAGCTTCCCCCTCCTCCTATCGCAGCCCACCACTGCACTGCACGGAACTGCACGGTACGTCCTCACCCTGCCCTCTCCTCCGAAGTCCCACGCATCCGAGTCCAGTGCCACCCGCCACTTCCCCGGGCACGGCACTGCCACTCGGTAGCCCTCAAAGCTGGAGAAGGGGCTCCAGTTGAACACGAACACCAGGGGGCCCCTCTCGAACACCAGGACCTGCACTCAATCAGCGGGCCGGTGGACGCGGGCGGTGGGAGGTGCAGCTGGGTGAGTGTTGAGTGTGCGTGGGGGAAGAGAGAGGGACGGAGGGGAAGACGAACCTCAGACGAGTGAAGCTGCTACCAGAGATAGACGGAGAGTATACCAGGAATAGACGGATACTGCAGATGGGGGGAGGGGGGTCGTTTTTGGAGTGCGGTATTAAATACTGGGGGCTGGGCCCGCTCGGACTTTTTCCCCCCTTGGTACGGGTGACCGACCGGGGGCCCCGGGGACCCCAACCACAGGCGTTTCACATGTCTGCAGCTCCCCTAGCACCCTGTCGCAACACCCTCCCCCCCTCCCGAAGCGGTCCATCGCCTGCTCCCCTTTTCCCGACGTACGACGTCCGAAAATACGGCAACCTAGAGTTTGGCAACGTACGGCCCTTCCACCCGCCTTGCCTGTTGCCGCTCGTCCATGTGCGTCACCCATTGGTGGCGGGATGACAGGATGCCGTAATGCTCGTCCAGTCGCATCATGGCGGCATCCCAGGCCTTGTCGGGGGGCAGAGAGGTACGGGTATGCGCTTGGGGCTGTGTGTGATTCAATGAACTGTTGTGTTGCGTGTGCAGAAATGGGTTGGCAACCATTTGCTGAATGCAAAAGAACTGTGTATTTTAATGACCTGGTTGAAACGTCGATCTACAAATGCCGAAATGGTGCACGGATAACGGTACCGAAGCGAACTCCGTTGTCCCGCAACGTGTGGGACGAGTGCAAGTGTGTTTGTGTATCTATGTGTGTATGTGGCGGGAGAGTAGCGCTATAATGTAAGATGCAAATGATGTTCGGCAGTAAGGTTCGGCCCTTCTGCATTCTGCGGGTTGAGGGGCGGGAGGGGTTTGTGAGCTACTAGGCTTGAACGCACCACACATACGCACACACCAAATCAGCATGCTGGGGTCTCGTACCTGCAAGAACTTGTACCGCAGGTGGGACGTGTCCGCCAGCGACCACTGCCGGCGGCAGTAGTGGTGGCTCCAGCCGTTGCCGTCGCGGGGGAAGTCGATCCACTCGGGGTGACCGAACTCATTGCCTGGTCGGGACACACAGCCAAAACGGGAATTCCGGCAGTCAGTCCAGCCGGCTTAGGTAGCACGCATTCGAGGGTGCCGCGAAAACGACTTTTAGGCTTTAGACGACAACGATTCTGTTATGTGCCCAATGCAGCCGCTCCTTCCTGCCGCTGCCGCTGCCGTTGCTTTCCCTTCCGGAGCCCCCCTCGGCCCTCGGGGCGCCCCCACCGTACCTACGGAAAAGGCGGTCCGATATTTCCCTGGATCCAGGTACGTACATACGTACATACGTGTGGTATTTACAACGGGACAGTCAGCGACAACGTCCACCCGGACCCTCCGAGCCCCTGGGACCCCCAACCCAACTCCCCCACTTTTCTCCATTCGTTCCGGGGGGGTCAGAGGGCATCCACCCACCACTGCATGAAACACCCACCCACCCACCCACCCATGAAGTTGAGCCAGCCCTCGCCCCCCAGCGCCAGTGTGACGAGCCGTATCATCTGAGCGGCGGGATTGGGGGGTTGGGGGGTTGGGGGGGTCATTGGAAGGGAAGGGGTGGGTTTGTACGCAGGAAGTGAACGCGGAGACTTTATACGTACAGCTACGATACTTCATGAAAAGGTATACCCCCAGGAATTCATTCCCACCTTGTGCAGCGCCACCCCCCTGGCCACCACCTCACTCGGCTCCGTGAGGGCGCTCATACCGCCGTACATCTCCGCACCCATCAACCGGAATGCCACCGTCTGGTCGCCCACCAGCGCCTGAAGTTGGTTGTAAACCGCGATGTAGTTAGACAGTTAGGTAGTTAGGTACAGGTGAGTCATCAACGCTGTAATTAGGTAGGTAGGTAGGTAGGTAGGTAGGTACAGGTACAGGTACAGGTACGCCAACAACCCCCTCGCTGCACTCCTCTGCTCAACAGGCTTCCCAGACCAATTGGAATGTCAAAATCACTCTCCACACCCGCACCCACAGCCACACCCACACCCACACCCAGCCCCCCGACCGCAGCCCCAGCCCACTTGGTCATGGCTCTCCGCGTATCCGATGCTGCTCTCGGTGTAACGCCTGTTACACAGAGCCGTGACCTAGGGGATAAGGGGGAGGGGGCCGAGGAGGAGGTGGGCAAAAACACAAGAGCCAACGGATGAGCGTGTGGTGGCGGCGGGCGGTGATGGGAAGGAGTACACCCAGGGACAGACCAGGGTGGGAGGACGAGGAGGAGGAGGAGGAGGAGGTGGTCGGGGTAGGGAGGAGCCGCACGGCGGCATGGGGAGGAGGAAGAGAAGGAACATAGTAAGGAATTTCCTCAAAACCTCAAAACCTCAAACCATGTGCGGACTAAGACCCTTGTCTCCGTGTCGCCGGCCCCTCTCTGCCCGGCGCCCGCCCGTGCGGGCCGTACAGCACCGTACGACACACCAACTCACTATGTCGTGCATGCGCCAGTCCTCGTCCCGTGTGTGTTTGAGCAGCTGTATCCATTTGTCGGGAATGGACATGTTCAGTCGCGCGTCGAAGCCCACACCTCCCTCAGCCACGGGGCGGCACAGGGCTGGCATACCCGACACGTCCTCCGCGACGGTGACTGCCTGCGAGGCCGGGGAGGGAAGGGGAGGGAAGGGGAGGGAAGGGGAGGGAAGGGGAGGGAAGGGGAGGGAAGGGGAGGGAAGGGGAGGGAAGGGGAGGGAAGGGGAGGGAAGGGGAGGGAAGGGGAGGGAAGGGGAGGGAAGGGGAGGGAAGGGGAGGGAAGGGGAGGGAAGGGGAGGGAAGGGGAGGGAAGGGGAGGGAAGGGGAGGGAGAAGCACAAGGGGTCGGGTGGTGTGGAGTGGGGGTGGGGTGGGGAGAATCATGTGACGGCAGATGATTGTGAAGTGCGGATGCAAGGACCAGCTTGGATAGCGCCAAGGATTGGAAAAAGGGAATACTTATTAAGTAGGAGGTTAACGGATAACGGTAAATATTCTCTCGAATTAACGAATACGCAGATTCTTCTTGATATAGGATTTTGAACAATATTCGCTCATCTCAGGTGGTCCCATCCATCGCGATCTGATCTTCACAACGACTCACGGGTCCGTGACCCCGTAGGTCACCCCCCTCTAGTCACCCGACGGCTCCCCTCCCTCCGCTGCCGCCGCTACCTGCGGCAGAAGCTGGTGCACCAGCTGGTTGGCCAGCATCAGGTACACCACCGCCTCCACATTGGTGCCGGGGCCCAGGTAGTCGTGATAGGACCCGGAGAAGGAGGTGTAGATGCCGTGGTGGTGATACAGCATGGAGGTCACCCCATCGAACCTGACGGGGAGCGAAGCGGAGCAGAGCACGGGGATGCCAGTCAGCAAAGGACGGAATGTTACCTGATCTGGACATATGCGTGCCTTCCAGAGGAATTAATGCAGTGTTAAGCGGTGTGGGTGGTGGGTGGGACAGCTGGGCGGTAGCCTGACATGGGTGAGTGGGTCCGGGAGGGAGGAGGGAGGGAGGAGGGAGGGAGGAGGGAGGGGCGAGAGAGGGACGAGGGAGGGAGGAGGGAGGGAGGAGGGAGGGGCGAGAGAGGGACGAGGGAGGGAGGAGGGAGGGAGGAGGGAGGGGCGAGAGAGGGAGGAGGGAGGGAGGAGGGAGGGAGGAGGGAGGGGCGAGAGAGGGGCGAGGGAGGGAGGAGGGAGGGGTGGGTGTTCGGCCCAGCCTGAACAGGCAAGCACTGGGGCAGGCGAAAGGGAACATCAGCGCCTGCTGCAAGTGCACAAAATAGGCACGTGCACGAGCGCAAGCTGCATTGCTGACCATGAGACCCTTCTTGGGGCTACCACGTGCCCCTGGCCCCCACCTGGGCGGCCCCCACCCGCCCACCTGAACCCGTCGAAGTGGTACTCCTCAATCCACCAGCTCAGGTTGGAGAGCAGGTAACGGAGGGTCTGTACGGCCACCCCGGGGGGGAAAGGGAAGAGGAGGGAGGGAGGGAGGGAGGGAGGGAGGGAGGGAGGAAGAAGGTCACAGAAGCAGCACTCGGGTCGGGTATTGGGGGCCTTTATTTCAAGGGGGTGTGGGTTAAGATGTCATTGCCTTGTTTGATGCTGTTGTTGATTCAGAGGCAAGCAGCCCAGATCCCCGAACCATCGGGGCCCCGGGGGGGAGAAAGGAGATGTGACGGTACGTCGCCAACCCACCCCTGTTCCTTTCATGGTCGCAGTAAGCCCCCGGCATACCCCCAAACCCCGAGGTCCCTTTCCTTCCGGGAAAGCTTTGGACCCTCTGGACACGTACGACATGTACGACATGCCCACACGTACGTAGGTCGCGCGGGTCGCAGACTGTCTCCCATCCTCAACCCCGTAACTGCCCCCTTCCGCTCCAGTGTGGATTGGATTATCGTTCATGTTGCACGCATACATACATACATGTAGCTCTCCGTCCCAACTCCCCCACCTCAAAGTTGGCGTAGTTTAGGCAGCGGCTATCCCATAGCTTGTGGTAGCCAGCCTCCCCCTGACACCACATGCATGAACGGGGCACCAAAAGGAGCCGGGGAAAGCTTGGAGAGGATGCCAGTGATGCTGGTGATGCTGGTGATGCTGGTAGTGAAAGTGGTGTCCGGCGGAGCGGGTGGTGGTGGAGGGGGTTCAACCCCCTGCCCCTCCCCCCCCCCCGTGTAGCATTCACCCGCGATAATCAGAGCACCTCACCTCCCCGCCCTCCTCAGAGCACTCCCCCCACTGGAAAGCAGAGAAGTGCTCAACTCTATCGCTCCGTGCGTGTATGTGTGTGTCTGTATGTATGTGTGTACGTGTCTCAGCTAGGTCACCTTGTCTACCCCCGGAGGGCTCCCAACCCGGCCCACACACCGTACCTCACCTCGCGCCATGCCGTACTTCCCCGTACACGAAGATGTCCTTTCCCGGACCAGGCCAGACCATGTCTATCTATCCATCTATCTATCCATCTGTATCTATCTATCTATCCCCCTACCTGTTTGAAGTAGTTGTCCTCCTCCTTCTGCCCCAGGTCGAACCCGGCGAGGCCGTCCTCCTGGTTCTTGGAGATGTGGGAGTGGACCACGTCGAGCAGTACCAGGAGGCCGCGCCGGTGAGCCTCGTCTATCAGGGCCTGCGGGGTGGGGGGGTGAGGGGGGTGAGGGGTTTTCGGGGTGAGTTGGGGGTTGAAGTAAAGCGTCCCCACGCAAAGGTGTTTTTTCGTTAGTTTGGGTTTTCAGAGTCGCTCCGTCTCCTGCACGGTTAGTTGAGACGGGATAAAGTACGGCATTCCGTTCAGTACGCCCGTCCGACATTGATCCGTACGATTGCACGGTGTCGTACCTTGAGTTCCTCGGGGGTGCCGCTGCGGCTGCTGACCGCGAAGGGGTTTGTCACTGTGTGGGTGCAGCGGGGGAGGACACGGCTTGGGATGCGGTTGCGTTGAACCGGCCAAACAAGGCTGTTGTGCGTGTGAAGTACGGACTAGTACGGATACCGATAGGGCTTAGAAAGGCAAGCACCAGATGACCGGTAACCACGTACACGTACACGTACACTGGGAAACGACGACACATCAAAAGAGAGGGAATGGGTGGGTAGTGGGTGGTTGTCTGCCCCGACACCCGGGAAGGGAGACCCAACGCAACGCGAGCCGGGACGAGCATCCGCCCCTTCGCCCTAAAGACATCCCTACTTGTGTGACGTACATACATACCATGATATCCAAATGACCCGTAGTACGCGTGCTCTTGTACGGCCATCAGCTGGATCGCGTTATAGCCCAGAGCCTGGATTCGGGGCAGGACCTGTATACGGCAATACAAAGTAGGATCCAGAGCCGCATTCCCAATGGGGCTACAGATCAAAGAAGACTCGAGATTCGGATGGACTTGAGCTAGAATAGGATATACATACATACATACATACATACATACATACATACATACATACATACATACATACATACATACATACATACATACATACATACATACATACGTACATACATACATACATACATACATACATACATACATACATACATACATACATACATACATACATACATACATACATACATACATACATACGATTAAACCCCCGTTGTGGAGGTCAAAAATGTCAGATGTGCGGTCAACAGGGGGAACCCCCACGCGACCCTCGAGTTTGGGTGTGAGAGAGAAATCCACCAGACACTTGTGCGCCATTCTTTCCATTCCTTCTGAGACACACACACACACACGGCCCCTCAATACGACACTTGGTACCTCCATAGCACCGGGGCCTCCGTTTCCCGTCCCCCAAACCCGGCCGTACTTGCCAGCCGTCAGCAGCGCTGCAGGGGACTATGTGCACCCGATTCACCCGAGCCATGAGAGCTTGTGTGTGTATGTATGTGTGTATGTCTCCATCTGTCGCATGACGGGTGTATATGCACGTGTACGGCAGAAAACACGTACCGTGTCCTTAAACTCGGTGTATGACGCCACTTTGGGCTCCTCGCTGCTCATGCCCACGTGGGCCTCATAAATTCGCAGTGCGGGGGGCCGGGGGGGCCGGGGGTGGCGGAACTCGTAACGCTCACCGGCAGGGGGAGACCAATACATTCCATCGTACCTAATGCAATCGTACACATAGAGACACACACATATGCAGATGATTTGAAGCGGCGGCGGCGGCTAGTTCCCACATAGGGCGGTACAGTCAAGGTTAGTTGTTGGGGCGCCGGAGGCAACCAATTACGACATAACGGCCAACAATTACGCGCGTGCGTATTGGTGTGGCATTCTTCACGTGGTTCGGGGCTGTGACGGAGTTAGGGGAAAGAGAGCTCCCCGGCAACCGGACTGAAATGGACCTTTGGGCGGGCTTCACCACCCGCCTTTAAGCGAGAGCTTCAATCAATCACGGAAAGCATTCCTGTCTCGCAACAGGTACAGATACATGCATACATGCATATATACATACATGTAAATATACATGCATACATACATGTATGTTGTTACAGGGTGGTTAACTTCGCCAGCGGCCCCCTTTCCCGGGGCAGTCCCTGCTCTCCCCTGCTAGAGGGGCACCCTAATCCGTCACCCCATCCGACTTCAGAATGTATTCGTTGGGTTCGGCAACTCACCACCAGCATCCAACCAAATCTAGCGGATCAACGGCGCATCAACTTAGTTCCTGGTCAGCTCGCAAGTTGATATTATCACGTCCTACACCGTCCATATGATGGGGGGCCACCTCCCATTTCATCACTCCTCAAACACCCGAGGAGCTGGCAGGCGGATTTGAACCCGGGTCGACTGGATCGACTGGGAGCAGAAGTCAGGCCTTAACTTCTGCCAGCCGCCTGCCTGTATACACACATATATAGGTCAGGCACTACTGGTAACGCACACACAGATGCCCCCGGAGGTTCCGGGATCGAGACCTGTCAGGGTCGAAAATCCTTCCGATGGTGGCAGGTAAAAGTACCCCTAGTCGATGGACGGGTGGTGACCTAGGATAAAGTTGACCATGAACGAAGATGAGCCGCCGTTGATCCGGCAGGTTTCGTTGGATGCCGGTGGTGAGTGCTGAACCTGAGCGATCCGACCCATTGAGAAGTTGGCTAGGGTGAATGGGTGAGGGTGCCCCGAAATACCGGGGAAGGCAGGGTCTGCCGGGTAGCGGCCACAGGGTGAAGATATGACTCCCCTGTCCCACACATGCATACATACATGCTCAGATTAGCTACATCGCAGTCCTCACTTCCTCACATATGTACATACATACATACCGCCCGGTTCCACGAAGCCTACACGTGGTTGCACTGTACATTCCCTCGATGAAGACACGCAATGAACGTGCATGCACACACACATACACACATACACACAGACGCCGACTCGCCCACAGCTCTCCCCCCTTACCCAGCGCCCATTCGCTTCTCCGCCACCGCCCAGCGAATCCAGGCGGGTATGCGGTCCACCCACCCACCCCCCGGGTGCTGCAGCCGCACCTTGACTCGGGAGCCGTGGGGGATGGCGGGGCGCCCATCGACTGAGGGACGGCAAATGGGGGGAAGGGAGGGGGCGGGTGTGGAGCGCGTGTTTGCAGGAAAATGCCGTACACGACCTAGCTTGGCAGATGGAAATAGAGATCCTGTACTTTCCGAGGAAACGCAGGACATCGTGTCTCTGTGTGTGGTTGTATGTATGTATGTATGCGTGCAACATGAACGATAATCCAATCCACACTGGAGCGGAAGGGGGCAGTTACGGGGTTGAGGATGGGCGACAGTCTGCGACCCGCGAGACCTACGTACGTGTGGGCATGTCGTACCCCACCCGGCTTTCCCCCCCACACCCCCATTCCAACCCCTCCACATTTTCCCCGCCCCGCCCACGCAACACCCCTCCCCCCCGCCAAGCCAGCCACCTACCGTCCGGCAATCGTACACTCCACACACCCCACTGGTCCCGGGTCATCCACACGGGCTGCCAGGAGCTGAAGTCCCCCACCAGCGCCGCCGCCTGGGCCGCCGGGGCCCACTCCCTGTACATCAATGCACCCCCCGCCCCCGCCCCCGCCCCCCCACCCTCCTGGGGCTGTTCCCTGTGGAAGCCAAAGTACTCATACCCCCGAGCAAACTGCTCCAGGGAACCTTCGGCCGCTTCTATGCGCTCCAGGGTGTTCCGGTATTGGGCCCATCTAGCAACAGCGGCGGCACCATATAAACACACACGGGCGTGTGTGCGCACGGGGACGAACCCTGGTGTAAGTGTGTTCGGAGTTGGATGGAGTTCAGAACTGAAGGAAAATAAATTGAAGACTCCCAGCACCCTCTCAGTTGGGTGTGTATAGCTGGTGACCGTGTTTGTGTTTGTGTGTGTATGTATGTATAACCGAACTGCCCGGGTGACCGGCCCCTGAGTGGGGTTCACCTGTATCGAAAGTGGTCCGCATAATTGGCGAGCTGCGGATCCACCGCCACTACCGCAAGACCCTCCTCGTCCTTTTCCTTAGCGATACCGTCCACAGCAGCGGCAGTGGTTGCGAAGATCGGCGATGTGGCCCGTTGGAAAGCCGGATGAAAGGGCTTCCGATTGGCAAAGCGAACCGACGGGCGCCCGGCGCTGCCTGGTAGAATGTCATGATGATTATGATGATGATCTAGTGCTAAGCATCGACGTGGATATCCTGTGCAGCGCTGAGTGGCCGATAGCCACATACTGTTCTTCGTCAGATATGTCCAACGGAGGCTATACAACCTCAGTTACCTAAAATTAAGGCAACGCGATAGGCTGCGCGCAAATGTATTTATGATTGTATTAACAGAAACGTTAATAACTACTGCCTTTAACCGAATTTGACTTTGATGCGGACTGAGGGTGCTGTACAAGCTCGGGGCAAAGAGCCAAAGCAAAGGAATCTGTATAAAATGTTTTCACATCACAGTACGATACATTTTTGTGAATTGGGTTTGAAATGTGATGTCATCTATCCTTAGCATCATACGCCCGCAGCGGCGACCCATCCCAGGAATGCGATGTTCCCACGACAACTGCCTGAGATAATAATATTAGACTTTTTTTACCAACCATCTTATAAACTAGCCCGGCAGCCATCTCACCCGGCTGGCTGCCCATACTATATGCTGCCAGCTTTCTGAAGTCGCAAGTGGTTCGCAAAAGGTCGGCCGGGGCCCCTCTCCGGAAACCCTGAGGAGCCACTCCCCTTGAAGCCTGCTGTACCCTTGTCGCTGATCTTGTCGCCGAGCTACACATTGGTGCATCACCTCTCGATGCAAGGGTTCGTATGACAGCATGATGGTGCATTGACAGGCTTTTTGAAGGCGGCTTCGAGTGTAACCTCCCCGTTTTGCCGGAAATGACGGAATGGCGGCGAGCAGCAGGTCGCAGGAGCCGTTCGGGAGTTGGCCATTTGGCTGACCGTCCTAATCGCCTCCGCCAAGAGGGGGCATTGGGTAGTAGGCGTCGTTGGAATTGCTTGAGCGTGCTGTCGTATTCAGGTTGAGTGGGGAGGGCTAGGGACAGGGTAGCTAGGGGGGATGCTTTGGGGTTTGGCGATGCTTTTTTGCTGTCCGCCGTAGATGGGAAGGGCGCTCACTCCCTGACGGACATTCTTTGGAGTTCGGGCGCGGGTCCAGCACGCTTCATTACCCTGTGGCACTTTTTCAGCTCTCGTTCCTCAACTCTGTACTGGAGTTTTCCAAAAACCTGCAAGGCATGTGCGCTACCTAGGGGCTCCAGGGGCACCCGCCGTACAGCACGCCCTGTGTGCGGCACCATGCTATACCTGGCTCCTATCCCTGCCAGGTGCAGCAGTTGTAAGCTGGTCTTGCGGTACAAGAATTTATGCTGTGCACGTACTCTTCTCGCACCTAGACGCCTAGTCCACACCACCTTACTCGCACTAGGGCCTAAAATGGAACTCGCATAAGGGGCCAAATGCTTTTGGGGCCATGAAATATGGTTCCTGGCTAGCTTAATCCCCCAGCACACGTGGGGGGTCGGGTATAGGAGATGGCCGACTTCTGTGGTCGCCATCGGTCCTGGTATAGCACAACCAGCTATGTTTCGCCCGGAAATCTGATGGAATATGAGAGCAGAGTATGAAAAACTGGAATGCACGTTGAATGGCTCTAATTTCCTAATAAGGTGCGCTGATGGCCAAAGGCATCCAGCTTCCGGCACATGCGCCAACCTCTTCCCCTCTTCCCTGTCTATGCACTTAATCAGTCTAACACATTCCAATTGATAATTCAAACGCACAGAGCACGTCAGATAGCACATTAGACGCTTGTAAAACGCGCTTCCGTGAGGCTAAAATCAGGGTCATTCCGAACAAATTTCGGTCCGAATGTGACTGGACTTGAGTTCACGCCATACGCATTTCGAGAACTAGGAGAATCAGGGAGACTCTATCAGACCGGGTCAAGGCAGCCGGTGGCAAGCTCAAGCCCCGACTAGCAATTCAAGGAAAGCAAGTCGAATGGTCGAAGTACCACAAGGACTTTCAGATAGCCTTCCTCTGGATCTTTGTTTTAGGGCTCCGGTTCGCAGCACCTTACACTGCTTGCGTAAATTCGTCATAAGTGTTTTCGATGCAACTCGATGCGTCTCGATGCAGCTTGAAAAAGGTTTACTAACACTCGTAATTGGGTAGTATTACGGTAAGGGTTCAGCTGGCGGTAACTGTTCTGTCCGTGATGCACCTACAGCCGATATTGGCACTTGCAGGTACCATTTCCAATTGAATGCATTGCTAGCTAACGTATTTTTCGATGGGATACTGCTCCATTTGCAACTGTCTTTGTTTGAAATTTATTATTGCTTGCTCCGAAACTGGCGTGTGTCATGTTGTATCCAGGCGATAAAGCTATCTGTTCTCAGTTTTGACATGACTCTATACTCCCCGTAGATTAGATGCAAAATTTGTAGGATCGATGAAGCTAGGTCTGCTTATCGCTTTGCTTGCCGCCGTCGTCGGCGTAGCGTCGGCACAGCAAGCGAACCAGAACTCATGGAGCTACATGGCGAACCGAAATACTCAGTGCCCAACCTCATATTCAAGGATAATTGAGTCTAGGTACTTCGCTAACAACGAGACCTGCAAGTCCGCCGTCAAGGCGGCCCTGTCAACGTACGATAAGTCGCAGTGTCCTGATACATCGAAATACTCCTTGGTTTGGACATGCATGAGCGGCTGGAATGGCAACACGACGGACCCGGTTAGTCATCAGGAGTGTGTTCCGCGTGTGTCGAATTAGTGCTGGGATTTTACGCCGCAACTTCATGCAGGCGCGTATTAATGACTGGAGTACTTTCCTTTCCGGATGTGAGCTTTTGTATATTGCTCAGGTAAATCATGGGAATGGCCGGAGGATGTTTGGTTCGCCCCCTATCGATAACCTTGTCGGTGCGCTGTCCCTGATCCGCAGCGCGCGAACACGGCTGAGAGCGAGGACGGTTTCGTCTGGATTGACAACTCCTGCTTTGGCCGCTATGTAAATATGGCGAAGTTTGTTGAATATTTACAAGGTGCAGACGCTAGAGGCAGCGCCGACAGTAACTCGTTTGGCCTTTTCCATGCTATGCTGGCTGTGCTTGCAGCGTTGTTTGTGGCTTACTGGCAGTCGTAAGTGTAAGAACAGGCTGTCGGCGTGATATACAAGATGATATACAGGAGCTTAGGGCAGTAGGCTGGCATAATTGTAGTTTGCACATATTGCATAACTGCGTGAGGCACATTGCGGTCGGATATGTTTGGAAGGTTATTCTGTTTTTTATCACAGGGGCAACCGTTAATTCTCATAATGTGTATCGGTTTATTTCATACTATCGGATTCATGGCATGCATTCCTGCGATGCATCCATTACATTCTTACTATGTAGTTGGTAGCAGTAATAGACAATGACACACGATCCGGCATTATCAATGTAGGTTTACAGGCCAATGTACTGCCGTATATAAACGTGGAATTTTCGAAATTCGCTGATCTCGCTCTACTATCCACTATACCACCTCGGCAAACGCTGTTACGCTTGCTGAGGTCCGATAGTTGCTGTCCAGTAGACTGACTTGATGCACAACATCTGCAAAACAGCAGCACAACATACGGGCAATACTGTAATGAAATGGGTCATACCACGTACTTCCAGACACTCCAGTTTGACCGCCCCATCGTGAGCTGTTGACATAGGCGAATGGTGGTAATGCTGCACTTATTTCGGACATAAACACCTAATCACCCCACTCTTTCTTACCTTGCCGGCCACTTGTACGTAGATAAGATGAAGATTTGTCCATTACGTCCTGCAACTGCACGGCAGCCCTGGTAATAGCCAAAATCGCATCCTTATTGTTTGTTGCTGTTAAGGCGGCGACTTGGTATTCAACGATATTGCCTGGAAACACAGCGTACGCATAATTTGCCACACTCGTCAGTACGTGAGTACTTAGGAATACTCCGGCTACCGAACCCCAAGCCGCTGATAACAGTTTTTTCTTCATCCCACACGGAGGATTCTCATTCCCGTCACCTTGTAAAACTTACCATACGCGGCTGTTGCCTTGTCCACCCGCTGAAGCTCCCGATGGAGGCTCGTGCAGCGCCCGTCAACCTATCACGGTTGAGAAAATCTGGATGAGAACTGGAAACATCCAATGCCCAGTGACCCGCCCAGGCACAGAGACACCCCCCAGGAAGGGGGGCCAATCGTTCATGCTCAATTCCATACTAATTGCGGCGCATGATGACAGCAGTTTCTCTATTCTCCGATGAGCTTGAAGAGAGTTCTATCCACTTGTGGTGACATGATACAGCGTGCCGGTGCATGCGCCCGGTGTCCCCAGGCATGCACCAGCTGTCCACCAGCCGTGAAGCTCACACTGCCCCTCTCCGCCATACCTTCAGGATCTCCTGCCGCATGCTTGCCACCCTTGAGATGAGCTGCTCCTCGGTTTCGTCGTCGCCAGCAAAGCCGTCGTTACCGCCACCCGGCAAGCTCACGGGATCCATCTGCGGCGCCCACATGCCACACATCCTGGGACGTGTCGTGTTGCACAACACCTCTCACCCTGTACGGTTTGCAAGCACGCTAGAACCTGCAGTGGCCTTTTACAGGTGACCCTTTTCTCAGAATGTGAGGAAGTAAACTAGTTCATGGCCCAGTATTCAAATCCTGGCTTGATCTGGGGTGAATTACACAGCCCTCCCGTCCTACGAGCGTGGGGGAACCGCTGCTGCAGCGGTAGGTACGTATGAAATCCAAGATCCATCCGTGGATTGTGCTCACCTGTTGGATAGATCCCACTTGTGCCGGCACCTGGAACACGCTCGTGATGCAGAGCTGCTGAAAGAGTTGCAGGCTGCAAGAAGTTCTGTCTGTCAAGCTATCGTATAGGCGCTGAGCACCCTGCCAAAGATGAGGGAAGTTTTGGTTACTAAAGCAATTGAGCTATCTTCCTGCAAACCCACGATGCGCCGGGGACGTCATGCTGCCATGCTCGATGCGCCTTAGGCCGCGTAGAGGGTATGCGACCTAGGGCGCCAAGACCATACCTCGGCCAATAAAGCTTCGTCTTCCAGGCTGGCACCGGCTGAAGTGAGAGCAGGGCCCACGCAGCTGCACAAAACGGCCATGCCTGGTCAAATCTTCGATTACAGCTGTTCGGGTCTGCCGTGCTTGTTGACACCTACCCAAGAAAGGCATCGAGGCCCTCCGCGCAGTACTGGAGGACCTGTAACAGCCACAAGGTCCATTAACCGCCATGCAGAAGGCTTAGGAAGTACTACACCGAGTCGTCCTACGCACCATGTCCTCCACAGTGTCGACGAACTCTTGCCCAGAAATCGGCTGCTGTAAGTCCATGATCTCGTTTAAGCGTTAACACAAAGAATATCTGCAACCCTTTGCTATGAGCTCGGATGTTAACTGGTATGATGCACTGTCGCGGAACCCTTCCAACCTCCTTGCGTACTGTTGCGGAACCTTGGTGATGCTTAATTACTAAAGCATTGCACATCCAACGACAAAAGGCCCGGGGTCTGGGGCATTAAAAAGGAAAGGTCATCAACCCGTGGACCACCGAATCCTCAGGGTAACATATGAACGTATGAGTACCATATATCCAACAGCGGTTTACCTTGCGAAGTATTTGAATGTTAGCTGGGCCTTAGTACATGCCGATTTGCTCGTGGATCGTCAGCCTTGTCAATTGTGATAACTTATAAAGCAAACGCAATGATCGTCAAAAATTAATCTGTAAAGTAACTGAAATGCATCATGCTCTTGAACCGTCGAGCGTGGACCCCCGCGCGCCAGCGAGTCAATGACAGCCACTGATCCAGGAATTCATAATGAAACGATCTTCCAGTGCTCGCTGCCCAAAGACTTCCACCCAGCTAGGATGAGCCATACCACATCAGAATCGGACTGATATTACTCGCTCATGTCCCATTCACCCCTGCTGCGTGTGGCGGTAGGCCGCAACACAAGGCAGCTACATAGGGCCTCACGATGTCTCCCGCACGGTTATAACCATAACCATAAGCAACTAATCATCACAGGTGCATTTGCACCAACGCATTGGACTGAAACTTCTAATTTGGTAGTCAGTTAGACCACTGACAAGCGGCCGATGTGACGCGCCCGCATCCGGGCCTTGGCAAGAGGCTGATACTGCAGTGCCAACGTTCAAAATTACAGGATTTTGCTTTGGACTTTCGGGTGGCCTGAACAATCCCTGATGAGGCGGGTCTGATTTTCCAGATCAGGCTAACGAACTGTTCCTGAACGTGGAGTGCTGGGGGGCAAACACCAGGGACCCCCTGGAAAATTGCACTGGCCAGCTTTTTGCAATGCTGTTTTCACCTTCTTTGGGGCGGTGTCTCGGAATCCTGCTAGGTTATTGGTGGCTCGATACGAGACGTAGACCGACCTTTTTATTGGCGGTATGTCAGGTTAGTGCTACTAATAATTTTGGTGGCCCGATATGGGTATGGGACGTAAGGCACTATGTGCCCCAGGGTTCGGATGGCCTGTCCGCTGTGCCTGTACGTACGGCTAGTGACCGACTTGGTTTGTTGACCTGGCCCTTTTGGTAATATCGCTTCCTGTACGTCGGTTACAAGCCTTTCGGCGTTCTGTTGCCAGTTTGTCGTTTCTGGTAGCTTTTCATATACGCTTCATGTTGGTGTACTTCCGAGGCTCAAGTCGGAACTTAGTCTTCGCGCAGTGAACGCAGTATATGAGCTGGTGCAGGGCCCATCTGGTACACAGCCCAGGGCGTACACGTAAGCTCAGGACCGTGCACGACCGAATTGTCACCGGGGCTGTCACCGGGGCCATGAGTTGGTGGCAGATATGTCCTTGGCATGGCTAGCAGCAGCCATAGGCATTATGTTGATCGGGTGTCACACAGTGGGTGGCTCGCCCCGAGAAAGGACGAGCACCGGGGGCCCTGACCAAGTCGAAACACAGCGCAGGGGCGGGCGCGCGGCTCTACGTCCGAATTATGTGTATTCAGTGCTGCCCCAATACGAACCGATGCACATCCGAATCCTGTGAAGTCCCAGTCCGATGCTTCTCGTAGCCAGGATGGTCTTTATACATCATAGTTTTGTTCGGACCTGAGCAGTTCGGCTGCCCTTGGAGATAGGTTTTATCAATTTCCCTCTTTTTAAGTGAAAATTTCACGGGATGTCAACCAGCTGTGGGAAAGAACGGCGCACCAGAGAAAAAAGCAAAAACGTACGACGATCATTTCTCTGCCAACCATTCAAGCTGCCGAACACGAATAACGGATAGGTACATTCACAGCGCACGCACAGGTTATGTTGACTAACAGTTCCTGGTTCCATACCATTCGTCATTTGTCTATTTTCTGCATTTGGCCATGTGCAGCCTTTTGTCTAATTCAAGAAATTTATTGTATTCATGATTAAGTTACAGTTCCACCCAATCTTTCAAGCGATGAAACCGCTTCCATGATGCGACTGAGTAACAGCCCCGTTACCTGAAAAAAGGAAGGCGTATGCATATAAGGAGGCACATTTTGTGTGCCTCGGTGGTTAACTTGCAAAACCTTGGAGCGTTCGGTATTTGGCCTTCGTTATGCATCATGGCGGCAGCGGGGCATCTCGGGGGGGGTCGGGCACTCCTGTTCAGGTTAGTGTGCCTTCCAGGTTTGGGGTTTCAACCCGGATCACGGCACATGCACAGAGGGTTATGTCAAAGGCGTGCGACCCCATACCGTCCACGAGCAATCCTGTGGTTGGTGCTTTCCCTGCACAGATCCAGCCGAGCGTGCTGAACCTTCCCGCGCGCTGGAAGGGTAACCAGTCTGCGGGAGCGGGGCTAAGCAACCTTGGCAACTCGTGTTATTTGAACTCCACGCTCCAGGTAAGCCGTTAGCTGACCTTTGGCTGCGACGGCCCGGAACCAATCTGGCACCCCTCGGCGTGTCTCCCTACCCCCCCTAACCCCCTCTCCTCTCCCCCGCTCGCGCCCCACCTCTCCCCCTCTTCCCCTCCCCTCCCAACAGTGCCTCGCCTACGTTCCCCCGTTAGCCCACCTCTGCCTGGGCCGTACCCACTCCTCCTCATGCCCACGCGCCTCCTCCTCCTCCTCCCCCGGATCCGGATCCACCCGTCTGAGCGGGGCCCTCGGCGGCCTGGCCTCCGCAGCCCAGGGCCCCTGCACCTTTTGCATCATAGAGCGGCAGCTATCGGCACAGCTACGTGGCACCCGGGGGTCAGCTGTCAGTCCCACAGAGGTGGTCCGCAACCTGCACCTCTTCAGCCGCGCCTTTGTGCGGGGCCGCCAGGAGGACAGCCATGAGCTGCTGACGGCCGTGCTGGATGTGATGGAGAGGGATGGCAGGAGGGCTGCGCTGGCTTTGGGGGCGCCCAAGGTACGCGGCCACGTCTGTGGGTGGGCGGGTGGGCTTAAGTGCTGTGTGTATTTAGAGCACCGCATCCCGGGTGGGTCGGACGGCGAGGGATAGAGACTACGGGGCCGGGGGAAGAAGGGGAAGGAAGGACGACGGTCCGGATGCGCCGGGTCGCTAGGTGTCGTTAGATGGGGGCCCTGGTGTGCAGGCGGCTGTCTGTGCGGGATGGCTGTCGAGGCGTCATGGGGTTCATAAGGGCAGCCCAACCGGCAGCCCAACCGGACCCGGACCCGGACCACAGCGGAACCCGACTGTTTACACACCAAGAATGATACCGAGGAAAGGTACCTCTCGAGGGGCGCAACGCAGCAGCAGCAATGTACGCCGACTGCGGGGCCCCTGTGGCGGTGTGTGGGGTAGCGGAAGGGAATCCGGTGAATGTTCGTCAAAACCACTTACTTGGGGTTGTACCGGGTTAAGTTGTCCCGTAAGGGCGCCAGGGGAGGGGCCGGTTGGGATTGACGGCCTGGAGCGGATGGCGGTCGTGAGCAGCGGGCGGGAGTCGCCGGGGAGGGAGCACTTTCACCTGGCGGGGTGCTGCGCAGGGCAGTGGTGAGCTCTTTGTCTGGTTAGGAAGGGCTGTGGTGGGAGCGGGAAACCCGGACGGGAATGCGGGTATGGGAATGCGGCCGGAATGCAGCCTCAGTCGCAACGAGGGGTTTCCACAACCCTCCAGACGAGGGGGAAATGGATTTGTTGGTTACACGCTGACACACCTGCTGTGACGGTCCGGTGCGCAGCTGGATGCAGCCGAAAGAAGGTTCCCAAAAGAAAGAGTTCATGATGCCGTATTGCCGTACAGGGTTGCCGTACCATTGTCGAGGAGCTGTTTCTGGGTCGTTGGCAGAGCCAAGTTCGCTGCCTGGCGTGCGGTCACGAGTCCAACACGTACGAGTCCTTCGCGACACTGCCGTTGGACATAGCCCGGGTGGGTGCAGAGTGGCTGCTGCTTCTGGGGGGGTGGGGGGTGGGTGGGGGGTTGCAAGGGAGCGGCTACTTCCACAACTGCTTTCCCCCCTCGAGGGACGTGCGGTAACTCCTGCTGCTAACCCCTGGGGGGCCTATGGGGGTTCTATACGGGGATTCTTTTCCGCAGCTTTCCAGCTGCTCAGCACCTCAATCTCTCCCCCAACCCTCCCCCCACTCCTCCCCCCCACTCAGGCTCGTTCCGTACATGAGGGGCTGCGGTCATTCATTGAGGCGGAGCGTTTGGACGGCGACAACAAGTTGAGGCGGAGGGGGCGGGTTGGGCGGTTATGGGGGCTGGGGGCCGGGGGCACGTATGAGGGTCTCTGTGCGGTGCGGGCCGCCGCCTTGGGACATCCCGACCTGCCCACCACCTCTGCCGCCTCATGCTGACAAAACCGGTACTCCCTTGTCTCCACTCTCGCTGCTGTTCCACACGCATCTTGGGCTCCACCCTTGGGCTCCACCGTTTCCACTGCTACCTTATTCGCCACCATTACCGCCACTACCACCGTCACAATTACAATCTCTCACCATCACCACCATCACCACCACCACCACCACCACCGCTATCGCCACCGCTATACAATCGCCCTCGAGCTCCTAGGAATGGCCACCCAGGGGTGGCTTCCTCTTGGCGGCGTGTCAGTTCCCACCCCAGAGCCCCCAGCCGCACGCTCCTGCTTCTGGTGGTCTTCGTGGCTCATGTTTCTCTTTTTGTCCCCTCCCTCCCTTTCTTCCCCCAACCCTGTGCCCTACGCCTTTTTCCCTTCCACCTTCTTCCCCCAGGTACAAATGCGACAAATGCCGTCAGCTGGTTCCCGCCATCAAGCAAACCACCATTTGGGATGACCCCAACGTGCTGGTGCTGCACCTGAAGCGATTCGACGGGGGAAGTCTGCTGGGCAAGATTACCCGGCACGTGGCCTTCGCGGAGACCGTGGACCTGCAGCCCTTCCTGACACCGCCGGCGGCACGGCGCCGAGCCGAGCTGCAGCACCAGCAGCAGCAACGGCAGGCTGCAGCAACTGCTAGCAACGGGCATCACCACCACCACCACCACTACCACCACCATCACGACCAAGGAAATGGCCACGGCGATTATAGCCATCACCAGCACGACAAGGCGTACACGAACGGGCGTTTGAGCCGCGATAGTTTAGATAGCAGCCAGCAGCAGCAGGAAGAGCAGCAGGAGTTGGAGCTTGCGGAGACGGGAGGGGATGATGCCGGTGCTGATGGCGGCGGCGGGCACAGCAGCATTTACACCCTGACGGGCGTCTTGGTGCACCAGGGCGCCTCGCTGCACAGCGGCCATTACTACGCATTTGTACGGGACTCACACGGCGGATGGTCGTGCATGAACGATAGTCATGTGTACGGCACATCGCTCGAGCAGGTACGGCAAGAGCAAGCGTATCTGTTGTTCTACACGAGGCAAAGCATGAAGCTGCCGCGGCCGGCGCCGGTGTCGCCGCCGGCAGTGGCGGCGGCGCCGGCTGAGGGCCCCGCGCCGCGGGCGGCACCAGTCGGCTCCGTCGCTGGTCCAGCGCGGCAGGTGTATGGGCCTCAGCTGCCGCCGAACATGACCCGTGGGGCGGCGGCCAATGGGCGTGCTGCACCGCTCGGGGGTTCGCTGGAGGGCCCGCTGCCGCTGCGGCCCTCACGTCTCAATGTCCCCACCGTACCGTCCGCACGCCTCCCTGCCAAGATCGTTGTATCCCCCAGGCCTGCTCCCCCCGCTGCTGCTGCCACGGCTGCGGCTGCGGGAGCGAATGGTGCTACAGCAGGAGCAGCAGCAGCAACAGCGCCGCTGGCCAACGGCCGTGTCCCCAGCGGCGATTTACTGGCTGCACGCAAGTCCTCCGCCGGCGGCGCTGCCGCCCATCTAGTAACCTCCGCCGCCGCCGCCGGAGTTGGCGACGGTGCACCGGAGGTGCGCAAGCGCAAACGCGAGTCCGACGGCGGCAGCGGCGGCGGCGCAGCCGATGACCCCGTCCCTGTCGATGGGGACGCCGCTGCCCGCAGCGACGGTGGAGGTGGCGCCGCCGGCGCCACCGCCCCCGACGGCACTTTGTCGGCGGTGGATCGTGAGGTGGCGGGGCTCAAGGCATGTGCCTCCTGGTCAGACGGCATTAAGCGGTTGCGTGTGGCGGTAGAGGGGCGGCTGCGGGACAGCGGCCTGCCCGGGGCCATGCGGGAGCTTGTGTTATCCTTGCAGCGTTCAGGGCTAAGCCTGGAGCAGGTTCTGAAAATCGGGAGCGGCGATCCGCGGCGTAAGGCCCTGCACCGCGAGATTCCGCAGGGCGTGCTGCAGTATGGCACGGACGAGCTTCGGAAGCTGTTGCGGCCGCTGCTGATGCTTTTAGGCTGGCTGGGGGGCCCTGTGCCCGTGTTGTTGCTGTAAGTTAGGGGCGGGCGAGGGTGCGGGTGGTGCCCAGGGGGGTCGTGGCGGCGGGAAGGAGGCTGCGGCACGTCGACTGGCGAAGGTCACCCAGCGCAGCAGTGGCAGTGGCAGTGGCAGGTAACCGCTGCGGTGGTGGTAAGCCGCGGTATCTACGATGGGTCTCTCCTGGAGGGCCTCAGCGCTGCATGTTGAGCTGGGATGGAGCGAGGATTGCTGTGCGGGATGCGGCGCGCCTCCTTCGGTTTTGCTGTAGACAGGGGCCCCCCCCCATCTAGTACAACGTGAAGAGGAGTGTTGGAAACGGAAAGATTTTGGAGGGCGGGGATTTTGTTTTCTGCCGAGATGCCGCGGTTGTGTATCAGAAGGGAATCTCCCCACAGTCTAAATGCATGTGGCCTTGTGTTCGTCTATGTGTGCCTTCCGCTGTGTGGAAGCTTCGGTACAACGGGAAACTGAGTCCGAGGAAGGGAAAGGGAGGGGGAAAGGGGAAACCGGACACGGGGCGAAGAGAGGCGGGAAAGGGCACCGGCCCGGCCCAGCCGGGGACTTCGTTACCGACATCCTTCCTTGGGGCTCCTGCCCCGCAAGTTTCTCCTCCACCAACGCCAGCAGCATCGGGTTGTCGTTGCTTTTGTTTTTGCTGCTGCTGTTTGTACGACAATACCTGGCCTACACGAGTGTTAGCGGCGCGTGTGGATATGAGGATGGAACAACGAATGAAGGAAATGAACGAGCAGGTGCTCGAATCGGATCCGGACGCGGGGACAAGAGCTAACCAAGGGCTGACGCTATCTAGGGGCCCTTAAAGTTTATGCCTTCCGATTTGCAAGTGGATGGAGATTAAGGAAAATTAAGGCGTTTGTTATATACTATAACTTTCGAGCGAAGGGTGGACTCGGATAAGACCCAAATGCGACGCGACGGATTGAGAGGGAGGCAGGAGTCGTGGGCTGGAGGGATGGGGGACACGGAGCTAAGGAGGGGAGTTAGGGACGTAGTGTTAGGCGCGGGAGGGGGGGAGTTAGGGGCGCGTGCTTTTTATCAGGCCTATGGCTAAGGGCGGCAGGAGAGTGCTTGCATGCATGAGAGCGCGGAAAGTCCCTTGCATGCTGGGGGCTGGGGCCGGGTGGAGTGTTCCAGCTAATTGCGTTGGCTTGGTGCGGATGGTTTATAAGTCACTTCATTGATTAAATTAGGAGTATGGGCTGAGGGGGCTGGAGTTACGGTTTGGATTGTCCATTGCTATGATGGCTCTTTCGAGAACTGCGCATGGAGCTAAAGGAGGCGGGCTTGGACTCTCTTTCTCACGAGTCGGGCAGCATACCTTTGCGCACTAATGTACATCTTCTCCCGCTTTGCATGCGCGGTGCTGCCCTGCGCTATGATGGTTTATGGCTGGGTACCGGACGAACATTGAGCACATTGTCGCGGCTTGCCTGCGCGTCTTGTCATCGCACAACAGGGGGGTTGGGGCAATTTTACACGACCGTACGCTGCAGGATGCTGCGCGCTGCGTGCGCGTTTGCTGGGTCTACAAAGCCCGGCAGTTCCTCGGCAAGATTTCAAGACGCAAGGCCGCACTGGCTCCTTTAGGCCAAGCGCCGTGGTGTGACTCCACTGCTTACATGGACTTTGACGAGGAATTGCATGAATGTTGAATATGGTTGGGCTGGGGACCCGCCGACGCATAATCGCCAACAACGGTCATCCTGAGGATCTGGATGGCCCTCGACACGCTGGTGTACCGCAGTGCATAACGCCCGGTGCATGGCCTGGAGCGGAAACTGGCTGGAATACCAGCGCCAGGGTTTTGCTACAGATTGACCTTGGCTGGCTCTACGACTTGAAAGATGAATGAGTGATCTTCCAGTGGATTCGACCTGATTCGACTGGATCGCGGATCCGCACCCGAAGGTTGTTTACGCCATAAAACGCCTTAACAGGTAACGAGGGTGAACCTCGCATTTACCCCGGCGCTCGGACAGCACCAAGGAACCAGAGGCGTTCCCCCGGGGGCCCCGGTACTAAGGGGAGGCTCGGGGAGGGGATTAACACCAGGGACGGGTTATAGGCCCTAGAGAGGGTTAACACCAATTTGCGATGATACAACCGTACAAGGCAAGCAGGGTATGGGGAGGAGGTTCCCGTTATGCGCCCGAAGTTCCGCCCGACGACCTTAGTCCGTGGTCAAGGATGAGATATATAGACCCGTTCCCGATACCATAAATATCCCGTTCGCCGATGTCTGGCCCCAACTGCCTTAAGTTGCTGAATCTGCAAGTTAGTTGCCAAAAAAACACGTGCAGGCCTGGTCGCAGGGAGGTAGGCTTAAGACGGCAGAGTTTTACGTAACTCTGTCTATCCTTTGGTAGGGCCTAGGAATGTAAGATTTCGGCAGCCACGTGATAGGTGGCGTAGTGACGGTTGCACGGTTGATAAGACCGTTGACCTTTCTACTCAGACCACACCCGCTTGCAAGTCCGCACCTTGTCGCCTGTACCTTTTGGTTTATGATAATAAAGGCTTGGTAATGTTTCGATGTTGTAACTTGTTCTGATTGCTTAGATTTCAGCCAAGACCGCAAAACGTATTCAAATCTTCCAATTTCCATTCGGTTAGCATAGCAAATGTACAACTCTTGACGCATAGGCGCAAAGATGGGCAAGGATAAGAGCAAAAAGAGGCGTCGAAGTGAGGATTCAGGCAGCGACGACAGCAGCAGTAACGACAGCAGCAGTGAGTCCTTTTGCTGGGGAAGCGCAGGGGACCAGCCTATTGAGTGAATTTGGTACAAAATGGCCTGGCGAAATTGTGGTCTGCAGGCGACAGCGAGCGGGAAGATGTCCGCCACGACAAGAAGGAGACGAAGAAAGTAAGCTTTTAAAAAGCTCCAAGCAAACAAATAGTCAAACTGGATGCGTCAAAAGGATTTCTGAACTTCAGAAAGGGACGGAGGGCAGACAGTCAACGACCCTGGCCCCCCGGCGCCCTTCCCATGTCTTGCGAGCACACGGATCACCCTGTCGAGCACGAACCTGCGCAAGACCATCCACTTAGGCCCGCTCCAAACCTCTCCCCTCATAATGTGCCAGTAGTTGCTATTCCGGCTTCCCATATGTCTACAAGACTGCAACAATCTCCTAACCCCTCAATCAGCTCACATCCCCTACTACCCTTCCCTCCCTCTCCGTGTGCTGCACCTTTGGCATGCATGTTCCCAACTCGCAGCACAAGAAGTCCAAGGACCGCGAGAAAGATCCTAAGCGAGACAAAGACTCCAAGTCAAAACGCAACTCCAAGTCGAAATCCAAGGAAAAGTCAAAAGACAAGGATAAGGACGAGCTTGTACGGCAGGCCCGGGCCTTCCTGGAGCAGCAGCTCTCCGCTCCAGGGGGGAGTGCAGGTCCCGCGTCGGGACCCACACCGCTGGCCTGCGGAGTGGGCGCCCCCGCCGGGTCGGGACCCCTGCCGCCGGTACAGGTTAGTCGTACACTGGACCGGGGGAAAGGAGGACGGAGGGTTTGGAAGGGGAGGGTTTGTGACATTGGGAGCTGAGAACAGTGAGGTAGGGTGTACAGGTAATCAGAGGGAGATCGCGCCAATCCCCTATGGCGAGGCAACGTGGCAAAGGCTGCCAGACAGCGTGGCAATATAAAAGGTACATCAGCCTTTGTCGGCCGGGGGCTAGAGGCCTGCTCCCAACGGCCTTGGCCACCATTCGCCCTTTCCCCCCCCCCCCGCGCCGGCTCAGCAGTGCTCAGCTCAGCTGAGCTCATAGGGCTCACAGCACGGTGACGTGTCTCCGCCACCCCTTTCACTGTGCACCTGCGGCCTTCCCCGCGACCCTGAAGCCCCTGGTTCATACCACAGCCTTTCTAAATACCTTCTATTCCGAACTCGCGGCGGTGTTCCTTCCCCCTGTCCTTCCCCCTGTCCTTCCCCCTGCTCGCTTTTCGGCCTGCTGGGCAGGTTCGTGGGGTTGTGCAGCACATCGGTGATGAGGACTACTTCCGGCGTCATGCGGAGTTCAGCGCCTTCCTGGCAGAGGAGCGGAGGACCCAGTTCAATGGTAAGGGGGGGAGGGGGAGGGGGAAGAGGAGGGGGGGTTAGGGGGAAAGGAGGAGGGGAAGGGGGAGCAAGGGGAGAAATGGGTGTCATTACACAGGTCGTCGCTCAGCCTCCACCCCCAACCCCCACCCCACCTGTCCTGGCATTGGAGCGCGATGAGCGGGTCTGAACCGCGAACCGTACAGCCCCATCGTCGGCCTCTTCCACCGCCAATACAACCCCAACTGCCTGCACTCCGGCACACAGTTGGCGTGTTGAGCGCCCTCGGCCGAGGACTTCCTTTTTTGACTTCTTGCATCATCATCATTACATGTTTCCGCACCCTCTTCACGCATCGCCCTCTGCTCACCCCCTTCCCTTCAGAACTGAGTTCGGAACGGAGTCGGGAGCTCTTTTCGGAATTTGTACAAATCTGGAACGAGGGCCGCCTGGCGCCCAGGTAGCAATATGGTGATAGGGTGATAGAGCTCTGTGTGCTAATACTAGTAGGGGGGCTTATAGACGTAAGACGTGGTAAGACGTGCTTCGTCTTGCCCTCCCACCTCCAATCCTCCCCCTAATCCCCCCTGCCGAGAACTGCCCAGGTACTACGCGGGCCTGGTTGCGGCCCCCAAGCGGCGAACAGAGTACCGCTGGAACTTCGCCGGGGCGGGTGGTGGGGCGGCCGCCAGGGGCTCAGCAGCGGCCGGAGGGCTCGGCAGGGGCGGGGGCGATGGCGGGGCCGCAACTGGCATGGCGGCGTTCATGGAGGACCAGCGAGCTCAGTAAGTGTGGCTGGTGGAACCCGATTTGTGTATGTGTATGGGAGGTCGGGGGTTGATTGGATTTAAGATCCGGATTCAGATGAGGTGAGGGCGAAGAGATGGGAAACGGAGGCTCCGTCCCTCCCTCCAGGGATGGAAGCAGAGAAATAAGCTCCCTGGTTTTCCTGGGACGAATTTAGAGTTGGGGCGGGATGAGGGGGTTGGAGGATTGCCTGCAGCCGCAGCCGTCATCGACACCGCTTTCCCGCCTGCTGTCATTGCACCTCCCTCCATGTACATACGTACATACATATATACATACATATATACGTACATACTCACATACGCACAGGCAAGCCGGTGCCCGTCATGAGTCCCGGCGTCATGATCGTGCTAAGGCCCGGGAGCTTCTGGAGGAGGTGGCGCCCAGGGAGACGGGCCGAGATAAAGTGGTGGGTGGTGGGTGCGGGGCAGGCGGGGACTCCCTCTGTGCGCTACTCCCGGCGCCTGTTGCGCTCATCAATGTGAATCTGGCTGCTGGTGTTGATATTGCTGCTGCAATTGCTGTAGATGCTGCTGGTAGGTACTGGTACTGTTGTCGTTTGTTCCTGGATAGGAGAGCCCCTCCCTGGACTTCTCACCGCGGGGCCCCCTGGACTGTATCACCTAAAGCCGGAAACTCTTACAGCCCTCACTCACAGCGTACCCCAGCCTACCTCTCTCCTCACCCGCCTACCCACCCGTCGCTGCCCGAACCAAACCGTTGGCAACTGTACCAACCGACGCCAACTGCCATGTGCCAACTGCCATGTGTCTATCAGTTGGCGGAGCGGGCTGCTCGGCGGGAGTTGGCACGCAGTCGTGACGATGACGGTCCCGGGGGCTTCATCCCCGGGGCTGGGAGGGGAGGGGAGGACGAGCTGATGGGGGGCGGCGACAGCTTTGAGGCAGCCAAAGCCAGGTGGGTGCGAGATAGCAGTGTGTATATGTGTGACGGAGGCATTGGCGGTGGTGTGGGTGCGGGCTGGGGTTGAGGCGGATGGTGATGGTGGTTGGCGAACCCGGTTGGTAGGGGGGAAAGTGGGTCGTGCGTCAGGGCCCCCATGGTGGTGCAGTTGGGTGGGCGGATTGAGCGACGTTGCGTTGTGTGAGAGCAGCAGTGCCTGGCCGGCGGGATGAATGGACGCCAACTCCGAGACCGCCAACGGCTAACTGTACTCGGCTTACTTCGAATCAGCTCCTACTGCTGCATTGAAGCCGAATGAACCCGAATGAATGTAAAGGGGTCAATAGGGAATAGAAATAGCTACTTGGCCGCCGTTACCGCCACCTATGCCAATGCCGCCAGCAGTAGTTGACTCTTTTATTTCTCGGATCACGTGGTCTCCCGCATGGCCCCCTCCGCGGTATCCCGCACACCTCCCTGTCCATGACCCTGTCGGCTTGGACCCTGGTGGTTGTACGACACAGAGAGGCCCGCCGTGCTGAGTCAGCTCGTCAGCGGGGCCTGGCTCGAGTGGAGGAGGTGTCCCAGCGCGCCGCTGCCTTCGCGGCCAAAGAGGAGGAGAAGCTGGCGGGGCTGAGGGCGCTGCTGGCTAAGGGACCTATCACCATTGCCAAGAGGCCCGCGTAAGGGGGGGTACGAGGAGTTGGAGGAGGAGCGATTGATGCTGGCGTTGACTGATGCCAGCAAGAACTTCTTGGAGGGAGGGATGAAGGTGGAATAAAGGGCGAATAGGCTCTTTCCTTTCATCAGGGTGATGACAATGACGCCGCGGGGTAATGGCTGGTTGTCCAAGCGATGGCTGAGACCTGGCTGAGATATCGCTGAGAGGGACGAATCGTTACCTAGGACCAGCTGCTTCACCACCGTCGCTGCGTGTGCGATCTGGAGGTCAGTGGGGGTCAGTGCGGGTCAGGAGGGGTACGGATGATATTGATCATTATGGTGATGGTGGTGGTGGTGGTGGTGGTGGTGGTGGCGGTGTTCAGGCGCTCCATGTAGAGGTGGACTATCGGCGTGCCGCTACGTCCTCCTGACTTGCTGCTGTTGGCGTGTCTTAAAACTGTGCGTTGGGTTCAAACTGTGTGTTTGGTAGCACCCCGTCGGTTGCTCGGGGGCTTTTAGGGGCACCCGAAGCAGGGTGCACGTGTCGTAGCAACAGCCATGACGAAGGACTGAGTGCCATTGTCATTTCGGGGCGACACAAGGTGCGGAGAAGACGCCTTCGCAAGTCTGCATTTCACCGTGCACGGCGCCAGCACGTGCAAGATGTTGTTATGATGTTGGTTGGCTTGGGGCATGAGATTTCCAGGAGGATTCTGGGAGGAAATAGTCGACCCGAGTGCTGAAGTATTTTTAAGTAAAATAGTAGCTGAAATATTCAATGTGACATCAAATTTTCCAGGAGCAGACAGACATGTGGCTGAAGACATATTCAGCTATGCAAGCATATCCCTAGAATGTTTGGCTGCTATATAGGGTCAGGGCAGGGTCCCCTTCGGACGTCGTATGCTTATGTTTGACTGTGGCGCAACGTGACGCAAGTCCAGCGGAGGGTCGGGAACCGCTCCGGACAGGCTGGCCCCCTGACTGAATGGCCGTGAAGCAGAAATTTGTACCGTCATATACAAGTAAAAGGAGCTCGTAAGGACTTTTACGGGACCATCCTTACGTTCATTTGCTTGCTTCTAGATGGACATTTTGCGGTTTTGCATTCTGCCACCGACAGTTAGGCTGGGTTAGGGAGGGCACGACTGCACGGACACCCGGGTGCGACGTGAAGCCTCCACGCTGGAGCGGCCCAATCGACTTTTCCATCAGCGCGTTTTAGTCGCCAATGCAGCATCACAGTCAAATATCTGTCTTACATTAGCTGGCAGCTACGACAAACACGCGCACAGAAGCTGTCATGACACCAGTCTCGCATTCCTCGGGACAAACTTAGATGGGACATCTTAGGGACGCAACCTCCGCGGCCCATGCGTGTAGCCTTGGCCCTACGCTGTCGCGGCCCGTGAGGTACAGCCGAGACGGGCGCGTGTCGTCCCCGTGTCCGTCCCCAGGTGCAGCGGTAGCACTGCCTTGGCGGGTCGGCGGGAGGGCGCTTGCCTGGGCCTGCCCCCGGGCAACCTAAGAAGCCCAGGGAAGACTTGGCAGGCAGGGTTAGGCAGCACAAAGGAAAAAAAGGCGGCTGACCTTGACGCTGGCAAGGGGTGGGCGATGAATGTGACTATATTCTAGGGAAGGCGCAGGTTGTTTTCCGTGGCCACATTTCGACAGAGCTGTTTCGTGCGGACTTAGGGTGTTACGCTGTCAATAGTGGAACTGCGTAACCACGCGTACTTCTTGCCCCAAGAATGAATGGCACGACGGCCCACTAACTAGGTTTTGTGCATGTAAGTATCGCATGAAAGAGATCCCGATGCATGATCAGCAAAACATACGTCCATAGTTAACGCCTTCGTTATGACTCCTGAAAAAATAGCAGCGCAATTCATTGGCAGTACTGTGATCCCAACGTTTTTTCAGGATTAGTACACTGGATTCGTTGTGGCAGCACTTTTTTTAGCTCTCTTAAATACCTGTACACAGCCTCCGTGTGGACCATGGCGATTAAGTTAAGAGGATCACCGCAACAAGGATCGACATTCTGTCTCCCTGCCCCTCCAGGCAGAGGGTTGCAAAAAGGGTCTAATCCCCCAATCCCGGGGGGTGGTAGTGGTCAGCCATCCTCCCATCCTGGCTGGGGTGACCGACTCCCATCTCCCATCTTAAGGGCCGGTGCTAATGGCCCATCCCTTGAGACAGGTTTCCCATCCTGCCAGCAAGGGTCCCATCCCCAATCCTACGGCCAGCGTTTCCAATCCCATCCTGCAGCTGTGTCCCCCCAATCCTCATCCTGTCAGCCAGTATCCCTTCCCATCCCTTCGACCAGGGCCATCCCCATCCTGCAGCTGTGTTCACAACCGAAAGCTGTCAGCCAGGGTCGCATCCCCATCCCTTGTCAGCTACAAACCTGCTCCTTACGTTTACACAGGTGCTGTAATATCGGCTTTCTCTTTAGGCGTAAATCAGGGGAATGACCAGGGTTATTTTCTATTTCCGCGAGGTATTTTTCTCTTGCTCTATGGCTTATTTCCTCTAGCGTCAAATTCCGAAACGACAAACGCTCTTTGAAGCGGATCTCGGCCGAGGGAGAGCTCGCAGCACAGAGGTCTATGTATCTGTTTGCACACTGGCTGTTAATGCACATAGCGCGTCGTCCTAACGGAGGGAGGAGAGTTATGTTCAATGGATGGCCACAACAACAAATTATTATGCTGTGGTTAGTATGGCAGAACAAACAAGGGTGTTCTGTCAAAATGTCCATGGTTTGGAACGCGGGATGATGAAGAAGGGGCGGGTGCACCAATGGTTCACCCCCTGCATAGGTGGTCAGCTGCACAGGCGGGCACCAATATTTCACGTTGGATACGCCAAAGCGCAATGACAAACAACCTGAGTCTTGCATGCTGTACAGCAGGCTCGTACGACATACATTGTATATACATACGACAAGGCTGCTTAGGACGGTCAGTGTCTGACGACTATTATCTTGTGTCCGTAGAGGGAGCAGCATTGGATTGTTCCGCGTTTCATAGACATTTTGCTGAGTCATGGAGCCGTTTTCCTGTGGGGAGGCCCTGCCGTACAGGTTCGTCCATCTTCTTATGGGCCTTAAGGGCTGAGCAAGCCAACGTAACGGACGTTTCACGTTACCTGAGCAAAGTGAGCTGTCCATCAAGCACTGCTGCGCGACATCTGACTTTGTGCTTTATAACCACGTGCCACAGGGACAGGCTGAATCTTTATGTTGTGAATTCCTTATGTAATGTAATGTAATGTAATGTAATGTGTTACAGAGTGGGAGGCTTCTGGGCCGCTTTATCACATTGTCAGTTCTACGATCATTTATCACCTTATAGCACCATCCACCACTACCACACTGTCTTCGCCATACGAACTGTAAGTCCAAGGCGGCGGATCCAGCCTTCAGGGACCCCTCCTCATCCATTCACCCGAACACCCGAAGAGACGGAGGGTTCGGCAATCGCCACCAATCCAGCGTGCGAATCTGGTCCATCAACTGTGACCTCAACTCCACATCTCAGCAGCTAGCCATAATCTCGCGCTCCCGACTAGTTCGGGGGTCTCCCCAGGAATCGAACCCAGGACCTTAAACCGCTAATTGCAGTAGTGTCAACCCAGACCAGAGAATTCCTTATGTATCATTTCTGTTGAAGCTGTGAATGCGGACGGGTCATTGGTACTGCTGCCCGCATAACCATAACACCTGAAAGCCCTTACTAGTTGATGTTGTTACAGGGTGGTTAAGCTTCACCAGTGGCCTCCTTCCCGAGGCAATTCCCTGCTCTCCCCTGCTAGAGGGGCACCCTAATCCATTCACCCCATCCGACTTCAGAGTGTACTCTTTGAGTTTGGCAACTCACCACCAGCATCCAACCAAATCTAGCGGATCAACGGCACGTCAACTTAGTTCCTGGTCAGCTCGCAAGTTGTATTAGCTTCGGTGCTGGATTATGTGTTGGGAAGGTTTCCCGGCTGTGAGAAAGCCTTCCCGCCTAGAGTAGCTAACCGACACCGCAGCGACCGCCTCGGCAAACGTTCTGCTGACCGAGAAGCATTCATTATTTCCACCCGGTGGTATTGACGATGTGGACGTTTTAAGTTTTTGCTTTCGGGGGAGCCGCTAGCCGGAGAGCCAGGGCTGTCGTACTGCCTTGCTGCTGCCTTTTGTGTGCTGTCGTGCTGCACGAATGCTGCTGCGCGTGTGAGGTGCGCGAAATTCCACCATGATCTGTCTTTACTACCAACGCCATTCCAGGGTGAGGAGGCCTGGGACAATGTGCCACCGAGCATTCGTTTCATTTCAGATCTTGGGCTGAGGGTATCACAAATTGTTGATCAGGAAACATTCTTGGCATTCTGGCCAGCATGGGCGCGTTAGCAACTGAGGGCCAACAGGGGGACAGGATGGGAGCATTTCCTCCTCCCTGTTCAATTGCATCCATGCGCTGAGTGCATGCACCCTCTTCTTGCCACAATTTCGAGGATGAGTTTCTTGTTCCCACCTCCCCAACTTTTTATTGGTGTAGTTTGGACATTTGTATAAGCCGTATGTTGGATTGCCGTGTTTGTCGATCAAACAGCTGCTGACCGTCATCCGTGAATTGCTGCAGTTCTTTGGATGGCGTGACCCCATGTTATCACCGACGCAGTCAGCGTTGGTGCAGGGCAGCGAAAGCTGCTCAACCGTATGCACTACCGGCCTTATGCACCGTTTATGTATACCCACACCCGTGTTGCAGGCGACATGGGGCAAGCCGCCACCGGTTCGAGCCGCACTTACATGGAGCTAGGAGCGGCAAGTTGGCTAGGTATTCAGACAATGATTCGGGACACGGTGGCCAAGGTTGACATAAGCGTATGCGAATTCGTTCAGATAGTTCGAGGATTGAACAAGATGGAGGATGGAGGGACGGCCATTTTGCAGCAAAGCAGAAACATGGTACGTCTCGAATATATACTGAATTTACTTTGCGCTTAGTTACATGGCAGCCGTACTAGCGACCACTCCAGGGCATCCTAATCTCGATTAGGATTTAGCAACCCCAAGCCCCGCCATACTAATCACTATCCATGTACAATAGGCGAAATTTGTTTAACTGCACTCTTAGCGAAAACATGCTGTCTTTTGACGAGGAAATTGCAGAAGTGTCGGCGGCGGAGCCTAATAACAAAGGCTTATGCGAGCACCTGAAGACACTATGGTAACTGAAGCACGACCAACAACAACAACAACGCGAGGTACGCGAGGAAGCTCGACAACAATACGAGGACAAGGACTTGGATGAGCCTTGAGTTTCATAGGTATCAAGGAATGGAGCATTCCAAATGCCTGCCTATCGTGTGGAAATTGAGGCATCCTGTTGCCTGCCCCTGCTCTTTCACAGGGCGCAAGGAGCACATCGAGATCGACGTCCAGTGTGAGTGTGAAGGAATTGGAGAAGCTATGAATGGAGCCTAGCACTAGAAAGTGTTTGGTAATTCTCCTGGTATGTCAGTGCACTAGGAAAGGCATCCCTTCATAGATAGCCTATCCTGGCATACTCAGTCCACAGCAGCACATATTTAGTCACATATCGATATGTTGTGCACTTCAGACATGCTGCATACGTTTCACTCTGCATGGCAGAAACTAGCATGGCCCTTCCATGTCGGCAAGCCAACGGAAAAATCAATTGATGCTATGGAAAATTGTTTATGATTCTGTCAATGTTGGTTGGGAAGCAGATGTCGCTGCTATCTATGGTGGCAGTTATGCAAGTGTTGGCATCTTGCAGCTTTAAGACTTCATAAGTCTCCACGTCCTTGACTAGTTTTTGCGAGCGGTATACCAAGTAGGTGGTACAACAAATGCCAAGGTTATCACAATAAACAGGACTTGGTCTGCCAACTTTATGCCTAGCCACCAAATAACAGCCAGGAAAAAAGCTGGCAAATACATAAAAAAAGGACGCCTAAGACAACACCATAACGGCATTTAAATGCTGTTGCCTTGGCCAGCGCTACAACTGCAGGGGTCTTAAACTTGCAGGACGCTAACCCTTGCATAACTGCCACCATAGATGGCAGTGA